GCTCAGGTCATGATCTCAGGAATCTGCTTGTCTCCCTCTCCTAATGCCCCTCCCCCTGCTTCTCTCAAATAAATAAATAAATCTTTAAAAAAAACAATTAGTTCCTGGGACGCCTGAGTGGCTCAGTCGGTTAAGCGTCTGCCTTCGGCGCAGGTCATGATCCCCGGATCCTGGGATTGAGTTCTGAATCTGGCTCCTTGCTCAGCGGGGAGCCTGCTTCTCCCTCTACCTCTGCCTGCCGCTCCCCCTGCTTGTGCTCTCTCTCTCTGACAAATTAATTAATTAATTAATTAATAAAATAATAATTAGCTCCAAATAGAAGGAAGCACTGAAATTCCCACCTGGACCACATGAGAATCACCTATGAGCTTTTATTTTATTTTTTAAAGATTTTAAGTCATCTCTACACCCAAGGTGAGGCTCGAACTTATAACCTCAAGATGGAGAGTCCCATGCTCCACTGACTGAGCCAGCCAAGCGCACCCCACCTGTGAGCTTTTATTTTTATTTTTTTAAAGATTTTATTCATTTGCGAGAGAGAGAATGAGAGACAGAGAGCATGAGAGGGAGGAGGGTCAGAGGGAGAAGCAGACTCCCTGCCAAGCAGGGAGCCTGATGTGGGACTCGATCCCGGGACTCCAGGATCATGACCTGAGCCGAAGGCAGTCGCTTAACCAACTGAGCCACCCAGGCCCCCCACCTGTGAGCTTTTAAAATAGACTGATTCCCTGTGTCTGCCCCGAACAATGAAATCAATCTCTAAAGTGGGATCTGGGGGCTCCATATCTGGCAGCGCTCTAAATTAACATACTTAACAGGCAAGACTAACTTTCCGACTCTGCCACTCCTCACTGGAGATAAAATGTTCAAATCTCATTGCTCATTAAAACAGAAAATTCACTGTACAATGAAACCATCCAAATCTGGCCTGCTGTGAGTGTAAAATACAACCAGCTCAAAAAACTGCAAGTTCTACTAAAGTTAAGCATAGGTCAGTCCTCTGACCCAGAAAGTCCATTCCATGGAATTGAGAGTAAGGTCCACCAAGAGATTTGCATAAGAGCCTTCATAACAGCATTTTTCTTAATAGCCCCAAACTGGAATCACCGATCAAAAGGAAAAATGGATAAATTTTCATAAATTCACACAAACAAATGCTCCCCAGCAGCATTATTCACAAATAGCTCCAAACTGGCACCAACTCTCAAAAGGAGAATGGACGAATTAACATAAATTCACACAATAAAATGCTCTCCATCAGGGGTTGGCAAACTACCGCTGGTACACCTAGTTTGGCCTGTGGTCTGCTTTTGTACGGCCTGAGGGTCACGAGGGGTTTTTAAGTGGTTTTTAAGTTTTTTCACAGTTGAAAAAAAAGAAAATCAAAATGAGAATTACTGAAATTAACACTTCAGAGGCCAGAATTCGAGTTCTATTGGAGTACAGCCATGCTTATTCATTTATGCATTGTCTCTGACTGCTTTCACACCAACAGGGACCATATGGCCTGCAAAAGCAAAAATATTTACTGTCTGGTCCTTTACAGAACAAGTTTGCCAATCTCTGCGATAGAGCAACAGAAGGAAAGAACTGCAACTATACACAACATGATGTGGAGTGAAAGAAGCCAGAACACAAAAGAGCCCATATGGTATGAGTTCTGTTTATGAGGTCCAGAACATGTAGAACTAATCTATGATTAAATAAATTGGAAGAGGGGCCCCTGGCTGGCTCAGTCAGTAGAGCATGTGACTCTTGATCTCAGGGTTGTGGGTTCAAGCCCCCTGTTGGGCATGGGACCGACTTAAAAAAAAAAAAGTTGCTAAGATTGCAAATCTTCAAAGTCTTTATCATAAGAAAAAAAAGAAAAATTTTAAAATAAATAAGTTGGAAGCTGGTTTCTTGATGGGGGTGTCAGTGGCCAGGAAGAGGGGCAAGGAGGCCTTCTGGTGATGAGTATGCTCTGTATTTGGATCTCGGCGGTGGATACTCATATGTAAAAATTTAACAAGCGGCGCACATACAATATGCGCACTTTCTACTATATAACATGCATGTTACAAGTCAATTTTTTTAAACGGGGGGGAGAAAATGAGGGAGAAGAAGTGTGACCATCTCTAAAGGTTTATAAAGAACTCAGATGAAAACCACATGAAACATCGAATAATCATAAAGACAGATGCTAACAAGTGTTGGCAAGGATGTGGAGAAACTGGGACTTTCTTTTTTTTTTTTTTTTAAAGATTTATTTATTTATTTGAGAGAGAGGGGTGGGGAGGGGCAGAGGGAGAGAGAGAATCCTGAGGCAGACTCCCCGCTGAACACGGAGCCTGACGCAGGACTTGATCCCAGGACCCTGAGATCACAACCTGAGCCTAAATCAAGAGTCCGCCGACTAACTGACTGAGCCACCCAGGTGCCTGGAAATTAGGCCTTTCATATGCTGCCCGTGGGAATGTAAAATGGTGCGGCCACTTTGGATAATAGTTGGTCAGTTCCTCCAACTGTTGTTTTGTTTTTTTTTTTTTTAAGATTTTATTTATTTGAGAGAGAGAGGGAGAGAGAAAGAGAGAGCATGAGCAGGAGGAGGGGCAGAGGGAGAAGCAGACTCCTTGCTGAGCAGGGAGCCCCATGTACGGCTTGATCCCAGGACCCTGGGATCTTGACCTGAGCCAAAGGCAGACACTTAACCGACTGAGCCACCCAGGCACCCCCCTCCAACTGTTTTATAGGTAAGCTCCACACCCACCATGGAGCCCAACATGGGGCTTGAACTCACAACCATGAGATCAAGACCAAAACTGAAATCAAGAGTCGGACATTTACCCGACTGAGTCACCCAGGCACCCCAGTTCCTCTAACTGTTAAACACAGAGTTATTATTGATCCAGCAATTCCATCCTATATAGATATCCAAGAGAAATGAAAAACAGCCACACACAAAAAACTTGCACGTGAATATTTATAGCAGTATTATTCATAATAGCCAAAAAATGGCGGGAACGGAAATGTCTATCGGCTGACGGATGAATGAATTAATGAGGTATATTCACACAGTGGAATATTACTCAGCCATAGAAGGCATGAAACACTGACACACACTACAACAAGGATGAACCTTGAACACTTATGGTCAGTGACAGAAGCCAGTCACAAAAGACCACATAATATAGGATTCCAATCATTTCTATGAAACACCCAGAATAGGCAAAACCTGTAGAGAAAGCAGATTTGTGAATTGCCTAAGGCTGTCAGAGCGAGAGGGGAGGGGGCTGGGGTGACAGCGAAGGAGAATGCGGGGTTTCTTTCAGAAGTGACGGGAGATATTCTACAATTCCCTGTGGTGATGGATGGACTCAACTCTGAATATACTAAGTCACTGAATTGTACACTTCAAATGGATGAACCGGACGGTTCGTGAATGATATCAATTAAGTCGTTTGAAAAAAACCAGACACTGGGGCGCCTGGGTGGCTCAGCTGGTTAAGCGACTGCCTTTGGATCAGGTCATGATCCTGGAGTCCCGAGATCGAGTCCCGCATCGGGCTCCCTGCTCGGCAGGGGGTCTGCTTCTCCCTCTGACCCTCTTCCCTCTCGCGCTGTCTCTCATTCTCTCTCAAATAAATAAATAAAATCTTTAAAAAAACAAAACCAGACACTGAAGCTAAATCTGCCACAGCTACACCCTTTGACATTCATTCAAACATCGCTCATCCAATCTAACAAAGGGCTCATCTTGACACGAAACCCCAACCATTTTTCACCCTTCTAAGCCTGCTCAAACTCAATAAATGCTTGTTAGCACCTCACACTCACGGACAGTGTACATAAAGGTGCAATGCACTTTTTTACCTGCTTCCAAAAAAGGGCTTGAAATAAAGAGGCTGCCACCATTGTAGCTCAACCCTCCGATCCCACACACAGCTCTCATTTCCTCTAAATGCTCTGACTCAGATAAACTGTCCCCATTTAGCAAAATCCTCTAAGCTGGAGGTCAAGTCCCCCCTCTATCACTTGCCCATTCTGTCCCCAAAGTCAGCCAGACTCTCCATAGCTTTAGCAAGTCTCATCAGAGAAAAATCTGACCAGCTGTTTCTCCTCCCTCTGAGGGCAAAGCCCCCCCCCCCACCCCACCCTGATCTATTGCTCTGGGTTGAAATCCTGGCTGGAAACCTGCTGACCTTGGCCTGTGACAAAGACCAGAGAGGAGGTAGGAAACTTCAGGCCCTTCCTGTGTGAGGCAACAGCCCCAGCAAGGGTGAGGCCAGCAGGCACAGAAGGGTGAACATTTAAGGAGGGGCTGACTCACAGGTGCCTACCCTGCCTTTGCATGACCCTGAGAGTGAGTGCCTCCTTAAATGTTGCACCCTAGGTGCCTTGCTCGCCTCACCCTAGTCCTAGCTCTGGGCAAGGGGATGCTCCTTCCTCCAACAGTGGCTCTAGAAGACTGAGCTGGGTCTCTCCTTCAGCCCTGGTCTCAGATTTCTAGCCCTCAATCAACTTTTTTTTTTTTTAAAGATTTTATTTATTTATTCGAGAGAGCGAGAATGAGAGAGACTACATGAGAGGGGGGAGGGTCAGAGGGAGAAGCAGACTCCCTGCTGAGCAGGGAGCCCAATGTGGGACTGGATCCCGGGACTCCAGGATCATGACCTGAGCCGAAGGCAGTCGCTTAACCAACTGAGCCACCCAGGCGCCCCATCCTCAATCAACTTTTATGGAGATGCCAGGCCAAAGGAGCTGCCCCAAGGCTATAGGAAACTCCACAAATGCTGTTGACTTATGGGCCTGGCCAGAGACACACCTGCCCAGAGACTCTTTCCCCAGTGCCCCACCTGGGTTTATGGCGCCCTCCTCCCAGAGACAAACTCAGGGATCAGGAGCCCAGGTCAGAGTTCCCTCCTACCCCGGGGCTCAGGAGCCCACGCCCTCAGCCCCCTCTTTCCTTAAGTGCAAGAAGTCCAGGCCACCACCCTCTCGGGACCCAGCATCCAACTCACGAAGCGCCCGAAGTGGATGGAGTCTCCATCCTCAATGTGCAAGTCAGCCTGGGCTCCACTAAGGCGGGAGATGACAGACTGGCAGCCGGGGAGTAGGGACCGGAGCAGCCCTGAGCCCGTAATGTGGTCCGCGTGGCAGTGGGTATTCACTGGGAGAGAGAGGAGGACCAGGTCCGGGAGGGCACAGAGAGGACGCAGGATTCCCAGCCCCCAGCCCCCTCCTCCCCCAGACCCAGGAGTTCGGCCTCCACACTGACCAGCATACAGCAGTCGCAGCCCCAGTTCCTTGACCAGCTGGGCATCCCGAGGCGCTGTCTCCAGAACCGGGTCGATCAGAATGGCCTCACGGGACTCTCTGTCACCCAGGAGGTACGTGTAGGTGCAGCTCTTGGGCTCAAACATCTGGGAAGGGGGCGTGGGACAGGTGAGAGCGAGGAACGAGACTGCCACTCACTGGGGCCCCAAGAGTCCGAGCCTCGCTCGATTCTCTTCCTAAGATCCAGAAACAGAAAACCCAGACCCTTCTTCCCCCTTGGTGTCAGGAATCTGTTCCATCTGAAACAACGAGTCCCAACTTCCAAATACCCCCCAAATCAGGGTCTCCAGCAACCTCTTCCGTAAAGGACTCAGCAGTCCGGCTCCAAGCCCAGGGGATCCCGGATCTCTCCGCTTTAAAGGACCCCGGGGTCCCGCCCCTGCCGCCGCCCAGCGCCCAGTAGTCCCGCTGCGGGCCCAGCCTCCTCGCACCTGCCGTAGGAGGATGGGGACTCCAGAGCCGCTGTGCTGGCTGAGCTGCCTCCCGGCGACCCTCAGTGCGGCCCCCGCCATCGCGCCCGCGGCCGGGTGGGGACTGAGCCGACGCCAAGCGCGGGCGGAAGCCGGGTGGCCCCTGGCCGACGAGGGGCGGGGCGGGGCGGGGGCGGGGCCCGCCTTAAAGGGGCCGCGGGCGCTGGGGGCTCGCGGCGGTCAGGCGGAGAGAACACGGAAAGACCGAGAAGGCATTGAGACCCGGAGAAACGGCGAACAGGGAGACACTCAAAAGGCTCAAAAGGCGAGGGAGAGACACTGGGACAAGCACCGACAGGGAGAGAACTAAAAACCCAACAAGAGGCCCCAATACACTGATAGCGGGACTCCTAACGTATTCCTAGTGGTTTTTATCAGGAGAGAGACAGAGAGAGCCACTCAGAGACAAGGGAGATGCTTAGAGACTTGAGAGAGACTTGGACTCCGAGATACCAAGAAGAGAGACCTGGAAAGACTTTCAGAGATTCATGGAGAGATATAGAGTTGAAATGGGATGTCCATCAAAGAAATATGGTCAGAAGGATACACTTGGAAATTCTAGACGATTACGATAGGAGGAGATGTTGGGACATTAGAGTAAGGAGAAATGAGCAGAAAGAGGGAGAGAATCTCTCAGAGAGGAGAGAAACAGACAGAAAGGAAAGTTCAAAGTCAAGGAGATAATATTGCTCATTTATTTTTTATTTTTTTGAAGATTTTATTTATTGGGAAGCCTGGGTGGCTCAGTCGTTGAGCGTCTGCCTTCGGCTCAGGTCATGATCCCAGGGTCCTGGGATCGAATCCCACATGGGGCTCCCTGCTCCGCAGGAAGCCTGCTTCTCCCTCTCCCATTCCCCCTGCTTGTGTTCCCTCTCTTGCTGTGTCTCTCTCTGTCAAATAAATAAAATCTTTAAAAAAGTGGGAGAGGGAGAAGCAGGCTTCCTGCTGAGCAGGGAGCCCCATGTGGGACCCGATCCCAGGACCCTGGGATCATGACCTGAGCCGAAGGCAGACGCTTAATGACTGAGCCACCCAGGCGCCCCAAGAATATTGCTCATTTATGCCTCACTTGAGGGCTCCTGTGTACCTGGCCCAAGCTGGGCGAAGCTGGGGACCCAGAGGTGAGTCCTGTCCGGTTTGGTGGGGAGAATGGTGCAGACACTGGGGCTGAAATAGGTTCGGGGATTGCCAGGAGCTCAGGGGCAGGAGGAAACAGGAAAACAGAGATCCTCAGGCCCTCTTTACTATCAGGGTCCCCCAAATAAGACCTCCTCACCCCTGGGGCCGATTCCTATGATTTTGGCAGGATTGTTAGACCCTTGAAGGCATGCACACCTTCTGGGTCAGCTGTGAGATCTCCTAAGAGGTAGAAATCTGAGCACCACCCTTCCCAGCTGTGTGACCTTGGGCTCAAAACTTAGCTTCTTCTGGGCTTCAGTTTACTCCTCTGTAAGATGAGGTTGAAAATAGCTCCTTCCCTCATTGGGAAGATCTAATAAGTTCAGACATGTAAAGAGTCCGGGAGAGCAGATGGCACAGAACAAGCTCTCGACAGGAGCTGGCTATCATTCTGTCCTCACCGTCCTTGACTCCTTCCTCCTCTGTTACCTCCTCCCCCTTCATCACTAGGCCCGGTTAAGTTAACCTCTCCAATAAGGCCACTTCTCCGCCATCACTCCCTCAGCCTCAGTCAAGAAGCAGCAAAGCATACATGCAAATGGCATGGATTCCAGGGCCTGGCTGCAGGAGTTCAAATCCTGACCCTGCTACCTCCAGGCTGTGTGAGTCCCCCCCTTGTGCCTCATTTTCTTCTTCTGAACAGTGGGAATAATGGTAGCGCCTCCTCTTAAAAAGTTGCTGCCGGGATGAAATGAAAGAATGTATACAAAGCGCCCAAGACAGTTTCAGGTATATAAAAAGTGCTAAATAAATGCTGGGAATGAATTGTGTCATTAATATATAGCAGCCACCTCACTGGGCTTCTGGCTTCCACTCTGCCTCCCTACAATCTATTTTAGATTTTGTGTTTTTTTTTTAAAGATTTTATTTATTTGACAGAGAGAGACACAGCGAAAGCAGGAACGCAAGCAGGGGGAGTGGGAGAGGAAGAAGCAAGCCTCCCGTCGAGCGGGGAGCCCGATGCGGGGCTCGATCCCAGAACCCTGGGATCATGACCTGAGCCAAAGGCAGACGCTTAACGACTGAGCGACCCAGGCGCCCCCCTACAATCTATTTTATGCAATAACCAGAGAGAGCCTTTTAAAATATCAATGACAAAGAGACTGAAGAATCACAGACAACAAACACAGCGTGTGGATCTTGTTTAGGTCCTGATGGAGATACACCAAGTGTAATAAGAAAAAGATATTTATGGGATAAGATGTCTGGCATATAGCTTCAAAATCATCTGGGAAGAGTGGGTGGGAGAAATGAAACAACATCGGCCATGAGTAGGAAATTGTTGATGCCAATGCCGCTGGTATTATTAATGCAGAGAACAATTCTGTTCTCTCACACTTTCTGTATGTTCGAGAGAAAACATTGTTCAGGAAAGGAAAAACAAGATATACATGGGACCATGGGGGAAATGTGATAATGTAAAGAAACGACCCCAAAGTTTGAAAGTTTGGTAATGATACTTTGGGTTGTATTTAAAAGATAGAAAGAAAGTCCTTATATTTTAGAGACACACACTGAAGTGTTTCTGGATGAAATGTGTGGAATTTGCTTCAAGGACCTTAAGGGGCAAAGGGATGATGGAATAAGATTGGTCATGATGAAGCTGGGTGATGGGCTGGTGAGGGGCTGATTATACTCTTCCTCTTCCTCTCCTTTTGGTTATGTTTGAAATTTTCCATAACCTAAAAAAAAAGAGTATATGGAAACCCAAACTCATTCATGTCACTTCCCATATTAAAAACCCTCCCTCGGCTTCCCACTCAGCTAGGCCTCTTTCTAACTCCTTGACCTCAAGTTCTCCATGGTTCCCATCAACGTATCTTCCCATCCCAGAGAGTTTCTGGCTGTTAATTCTTTCCAGCATTTATTTGATACAGAGTTATTGGACACCGACTATGTGCTAAGCTCTGTCCTGGACAGAGTGATAAACAAGACAGACAGGTTGTTCATCTTAACAGAGCATATAGTCTAGAGGACAGGTATGCTGTGTTATGTGCATACAAGGGAGATGCGACAACAGAGTAATGGAGGGAAGGGGGCTCCATGAGCTAGGGTGGACAGCGTAGGCCTTCTGCTGTGGTAATATTTGAAAGGAGATCAGACGGAGGAGTCAGACAAGCAATTTGATGGAGGAATGACCTTGGGGGGACAGAGGGAACCGCTAGTGCAAAGGCCCTGGAGTAGGATGGACCATGGCATATACCAGCACTGGAAAGGAAGGTGAGTTTGGAGCATCGAGGTAGGAAAGATTCCCAGGGGCGCCTGTGTGGCTCAGTCGTTAAGCGTCTGCCTTCCACTCAGGTCATGATCCCAGGGTCCTGGGATCGAGCCCCGCATCAGGCTCCCTGCTCCGCAGGAAGCCTGCTTCTCTCTCTCCCACTCCCCCTGCTTGTGTTCCCTCTCTTGCTGTGTCTCTCTCTGTCAAATAAATAAATAAAAATCTTTTAAAAAATTAAAGAAAGATTCCCAGAACACAGCATGCTCCTTCCCATCTTGAGCTCTCTGCACTTGCTGTTCTGGGACGACCTTGATCCCATCATGGCCTAGTTCAATGCACAATAAAAACAAGAAGTAGTATTGGTAACGTGTACTGACCACTGTAGGCACTGTTCTAAACTTTCCATTGATTACTGAATTTCATCCTAACAACGCAGAAAGGTGGAGAGACTTGGCCAACCTTACACAGCTAGAAAGTGGCCGAGCCAACCAGATACCCAGGCAATCTGGCTCCAGAGCTCGAATAACCCCACCGTCTAACTCCCACGGCTCCCAGGACTCACCAGACCTTGTGGGTTATCAGACTGAAGACCCACCCAATGCAGGGCATTTTTATGGGCACTTCACGGTCACTCCCGTAGTGGGCGGAAAAGTGCACCATCACGGCCCGGGGAAAGGTGCCAAGCGTGCCACCCTGGGCCTGGCACCAGGAGCTCCAGCCCTCCCAAGAACTCGGGCTGGGATGCTTCGGGAACCGCCGCCTCCATCCCCACACCAACACGAGAACCATGGCATCGGGGTGGGAGGGGCTGAGATTCTTGAATCACCCAATGGCGAAGGGTGCCGGGGCGCTATGCAAATAACATGTTTTTTATTGGGCGTCAGCCTGCTCGAAGCCTCGCGTCCCGCCCCGCCCTCTCACTAATTGGCCTGCCTTCTTTGCAAACGCTTTGCGGGGTGAAATGGGCAGCCGGCTCTTCAAACTCCCTTCGGAGAGGGAACTCAAGCTCCCAACGGAATCTCGAAAGGGAGGGGGACAGAGAAAAGGAAGGCGCATATGTTGGGCACTGTCTCAGTGATCTCTAAGCGCGGTTTCTCCGAGTTAGGTCCTGCACGTGCTTGACTCCAGTCAGCCACCGTAGTCCCCGCAACCCGCAGTATACTTTCTTATGGCCCTTCTACCCGTAGCTCGGCGCTTGCTCACCAACTTGCCTGCCTTGCGCACTCACCCCTCCTTCCATTTTTTCTCCCCCGCAGCCCCCTCCGCTGGCCGCGACTGCGCACGCGTACTGACGCCCCCACTGGCCCCGCGTGGGAGGAGGGGATAGAAATGAGTCTGGGCCGAGAAGCTCACGCGCGCTCCCTCCCCTCCCGTCGCTGGGCACGCGCCAGGCCGTGCAGCTTTGCGCGTCCGAGGGCAGCGCAGCAGCTGCAGCGGCCGCTGCGGGAGGGGCCCGGAGCCCCGCCCCCGGGGAGGGGCCTTCCGCAGGTGAGGCGGGCACGGGTCCGGGCCTGGACGCCTGGGTCTTCGGGAAGTGGATTGGGGGCTGGACGCCAGGATCTCCCGGAAAGGAATAGATTGGCGTCCTGATGCATAGGTTCTGGAGGGGCTGCATTGGTGCCTGAGCCTTGGTAGAGTGCATTGGTGCCCGAATGCCGTGATTCGAGGCGTGCATTGAGGCCCGGACGCTTGGGATCCCGAGGGAAAAATCCAGTAGGGGTCTCTGGATCGCAAGACACGCCACGTTCTTTCTGCATTTCCCTCTAGGTCTCCCCTCTATCCTCCACGCTGGGGATGAAATTTAGCAACAAGAAGGAAGCGGTTCACGCGGCGTCAATGGACTGAGACTAAACCAAGACTCGGGTAAAGCTACCTATTGGAGGTGAAATCCCGCCCACTGAGCTCAGGCTCCTCCCCTGAGACAGTTGTAAAAGACCCGCCCTCTCCGCTCGAAGGCCCCTCCCCTGGGTCTGAGTTGCTTTGGGTCCTGTCTATATAGCCCCGCCCAGTCCCGTCTTTGCTTCCACGGCTGGGAGGTTCTGTTGGGGGGAGGTCCCGCCCACTCGATGTAGAGGCCTAGTCAGCTCCGCGCTCAGGGCGGCCCCTGAATTTTAGTAGAGGCCCGCCCACTCGGCTCGAGGGTTCCAACCCCGGGTCTAAGTCGCAAAGGGTCATGTTTGCATAAACCCCGCCCGTTGTGCTCTTAGGCTCCGCCTTCGCGTAAGGCCCGCCCTAGCCTTTGGATCCCAGGCTTAAAAAGACCTTGCTCCTGAACAGACTGGTCCCTGATTTTAGGCCCTACAGCCCTGTCCCCATCAGCCTGGTAATCACCGGCATCGCCTACCTCCCTCTGGGTTCCTGGGCCAGCAAGATGCTGGAACGAGATGCAGAGTCCGCGGCCGGGGACACCGATCCTAGTCCCACTTGCAAGGAACCAGTAACCAAGGGAAGAGGTGAGAGCGGTCCCGCCCGTGGGTAGGGGGGCACAGGAATTGGGGCTAAGACAATCATATTTTGAGGGAATCTCAGGGTGAAAGTTTGAAGGCCTAGGGTGATGACCATTTGGGATACTCACAAATATGTTCTGGGGAATCCTACTATTGGCTTTGGGGAACCTCAGTGATTTTTTAGGACTCAGAAAATTAAGGGTCAGGGGGTTTGATATGCGGAATTTCAGGGTGATCACTTGGGAATATACTAGAAACGGACACCTTAGTAGCTTTGGGATTCCAGCCCCTTTGGATGATGCATGGCATAAGGTGGGGAACAGAGACGTGTCATTTGAGGAATCCCAGATGACCCCTGAGGTGTCAAGGTTGGGGTGGGGGAAGGGAAGCCTGGCCTAGATTCAGGGTGTTGGTTGATGCCTGGAGCCCACCAGCCCTCCTGTCCTGTAGCTCCCCACCAGGGCTCGCCGCAGAAGCCCAGCAAGTCGGTTCCAGGGCCTGCCACGTCCGCGGGGGCGCCTTCTCGACCCCGCCGGCGGCCCCCGCCCCAGCGCCCGCACCGCTGCCCTGACTGTGACAAGGCCTTCTCGTACCCGTCCAAGCTGGCCACGCACCGGCTGGCACACGGCGGTGCCCGCCCCCATCCGTGCCCCGATTGCCCCAAGGCCTTCTCCTACCCCTCCAAGCTGGCAGCCCACCGCCTCACGCACAGTGGTGCCCGCCCACACCCGTGCCCGCACTGCCCAAAGGCCTTCGGCCACCGCTCCAAGCTGGCAGCCCACCTCTGGACCCACGCGCCCGCCCGCCCCTACCCGTGCCCCGACTGCCCCAAGTCCTTCTGCTACCCCTCCAAGCTTGCAGCCCACCGCCACACGCACCATGCCACCGATGCCCGCCCCTATCCTTGCCCGCACTGCCCCAAGGCTTTTTCATTCCCCTCCAAACTGGCCGCCCATCGCCTCTGTCACGACCCCCCGACGGCACCAGGCAGCCAGGCCACAGCCCGGCATCGCTGCTCCAGCTGCGACCAGGCCTTTGGCCAAAGACGCCTCCTGCTCCTTCACCAGCGCAGCCACCACCAGGCTGAGAGCCAGGGGGAGCGTGAGTGAGTCTTCCCCTTGGCTCACGGCGCCCTCTGCCACCAGCCTGGGTCAATAAAGAGGCGGCATTTTTAAGCTGGGCTGTATGGACTTGCCTTGACCAGACAGCTGGCAGGGAGACTGGCCCCACACTGGGCTCCAACTTATAAGGCTGAGGAACTCTTTGCTCACCTGTTTGGGGGGAGGGGAAGGTGTCACCCACAGAAAGTTAGCGCTGGGCCCCAAACCATGGGCTTGGAGCTGGGGTTTGAAAGCAAGCCCTGGCTCTGGTTTTTCCCTATTTATAAGGCAAAAGTAAAAAGTCTGCTAGCATCGTTGGTTGCTGAGGAATGTGGGGAACAGGGTCTCTCCTTATTGTAAGTTAAATTGGTGCCTCCATCTTGGCCATTTGACTGTCCATAAAAAATTTAAAATGTTCACATGCCCGTGTCAACTATTCCACTTCTAGGAACTTATCCTGTAGATAAACTCAAGCACTGAAAAAGGCATAAGGATGTTCCTATGTTCAAAAAGGCATAAGGATGTTGGGAAACCACCCAAGTGCCCATCAAGAGGGGACCAGCTAATGAAATACAATACAGCCATAGAATGGACTATGTTGCTATAGGAAAAAAACTCTATTTGTACAGATGTGGAATGAGTCCCTAAATATACGAAATGATAAAAGCAAGAACAAAGGGCATGCTGCCAATAGTATAAACATTTTTTAAAGCTCAAGCTTATGAGCCGGGGGGCCCTGGACAAGCTTTGTCACTTCTCTGGACTCAGATGCCTTATCTAGAACATGGGAGTGCTAGGAGGCCTTTGTAAGGGCACAAGCATCATCTCTGGCATCACTTCCCTTCTCGGAGCCTGTTTCTTCTGCTATAAAATAAGAAGGAGCTAACAATGGACTGCGCTTCGTTCTTCAGATGTGTATTAAGCACCTATAATGTGCTGGACTCTGCCCAGGGTGGTAGGCACACAGCAGTGAACAAGACAGGCCTGGTCTAGCGAGGGGGAGTGGGTGCTAATCAAGTAGTGGCCCAAAAAAGAAAGAAAGGAAAAAAAAGTAAAGGAGCCAAGTCCATCTTAAAGAACAAAGTAGGGGAGGGAGCCTTGCCCCCCACCCCCACCCCCAGCCCAGGTACCAAGAATGATTTCAAAGTCGTAGGAATGACATCTGTCGTGTTGGCATGGGAACAGGCGAGTGGAAGAGGACCGAGGGCTCAGAAACGGCCCGGTGCTCACAGGAGGTCCTGACAAGTGACAGTCCCCATGACTAGATTAGGGGTTGGCACACTTTTTCTGGAAAGGGCCCGATGGTATGTACTTTTAGGTTTTGCAGGCCACGGTGTCTGCCACAACGACCCAGCTCTGCCCCTGGAGTCCAAAAGCAGCCACACACATTATGATACACGAATGAATGTGTGTGGCTCTAGCCCAGTAAAACTTTACAAAATGGTAGCTGAGCTGGATTTTGCCTATGGGATGTAGTTTGCAGATCTCTGCTGTAGGTGAATGGGGCAAGGACGGGCTCATCTGTGAATGAGCTGAGAGATCTGGAAAAAAATTAAGTGGGATCCTGTGGAGGCAGAATAATGGTCCCCCAAAGAGGTCCACGTCCTAATCCCCAGAACCTGAGTATGTTAGTTTACATATGGCAGAAGGGGCTTGGCAGATTTGTGATTAAGGATCTTATCTTGAGATGGGGAGATTATCCTGATTATTCCAGGGGGCCCGATGTAATCACAAGGGTCCTTATATGGGAAAGAGGGAAGCAGAAGAGTCAGAGGGGATGTGACAATGGAAATGGACACCAGAGGGATGCAGGGCCATGATTCAAGGGACTCAGGCAGCCTCTAGAGACTGGAATAGGTAAGGAAATGGATCCTCCCCGGAAGGGACACAGCCTTGCAGACACCATGATTTTAGGCCACTGAGACAAAAGTTGGGACTACTGACCTACAGAACTATAAGCAAATACATTTGTGTTGTTTAAGGCTACTAAGCTTGGGATAGTTTGTTACAGCAGCAATAGGAAACATACAGATCCCGATCTCATACCATACACAAAAATAAGTTTCTGGTGATTTAAGATCTAAATTTGAAAAACAAAATGGAAATAATAAAGGAGAATATCTTTGTAACCTCAGAAGTACAGAAAGAATCCTTAAGATACAAGGAATGTACATCATAGAGGAAGAGACTGGTAGATTTGACCATAAACAAATCAAGTTACAACTATGGCGAGAGATACAGTATTATGAGTGTATACCGGGCACATACTATTATATAGAGGGTTAGCAAAGACCTTTTTGAAGAGGTAGAGTTTTACTTGTGATCTGAAATGTGCAGATGGAATGAGAGATGGTTTGTGGAATCAGGGGTGGCACCGGGCAGGCGAATGCAAATTAGCAGGCCGCTAGACCAGCCGCTAGCTAGACCCAGTGCACTGGGCAAGGCCTTGGGGAAGGGGTGGGCGAGGAGGAGGATTAAGTCCCTCCATGCCAGAAGTGCGGTTGCTATCAAGGTTTACATACAGAGCGGACTTGGAAGATTTCCTCCACAGCAACACACCACCATCAAAGTTTCAGGGACAAATGCATTTGCGAGGTGTCGATCTGGTCCAACCGTTGACGTAGAGATGGGGCAACAGGCCAGGAAAGATGGGATTTGCCTGCGTCCACACAGCAGGCCAGTGCTGAGCCAGGGCGGACCCTGAGTCTGACACGCTGACCTCCCGCTGCTCCTTGTATAGGTCAAGCCGGTTCCTGCCTGGGGGCCTTTGCACCTGCTTTTCCTCCACCTGGAATGGTTCCCCCAGACTCTCCCTTATTTCTCCCAAGTCCCTGCAGAGGGGTCAGTCCTCTGACACACCTTCCCCACTGACCCTCTCTGAACCACGCCACCCTGTCCCATGGCTCTGTAACACTGCCCTGTGTTCATGCTCAACGCTGCATGACACACTCACGGTCTCTCCACCAGCGGAATGTCAGCCCTGTGAGAACGGGGCCTCGTGTCTCTTTTTCACACCGTAGTCCCACCGTCTCACACATGGTGGGCGCAGTAGGCAGAGTAACAGCCTCCTAAAGATGTCCACATGCTGATCCCTGGAACCCATGGATCTGCTATGTGGCAAAGGAGAATTAGGGTGGAAGGAATCAAAGTTGCTAATCCGCAGACTTTAAAACAGGGAGATTATCCCAGATCATCCAGGCGGGCTCGGTGTAAACACAAGGATCTCTGAAGGTGGAAGGAGGAGACAGAAGAGGGCGTCTCAGAGTGAGGTGGCGTGAGGAAGACCACTGGCCACTGCTGGCTTTGAATACGGAAGGGGAACTGGGGAAAAGACAAGAACGCAGATTTCCCCCAGAGCCTCCAGAAGAAGCACTGCCCTGCCTACACCGAGTTTCAGTCCCTTTTGGACTTCAGACCTCCAGACCTGGAAGGTTATAAATTTCTGTAGGTTTAAGACATAAAGTCTGTGGTAATTTGTTACTGAGCTCTGACTGCCCTTTGCTCTGCTCCAACCCCCTCCTGACCTCCCCAGCTCCAGGATAATGTCCAAGCTTCTCAACCTGGCGTTCGAAGCCCCTCAGGACAGCCCTGTCCTTTTGCTTCGACAGTGACGTGAATGTTCTTCATCTGTGTGCTCTATTACAGCTGCCAGTGGGCACCTGAATGTGGCCAGTGTGACCGACAAAGTAAACTCTTCCCTTCACGTCACTGTATTCATTTAAATAGCTACCCGGGTCCAGGGGCTATCGTGTTAGCATAGCTGCAAGGACTATGTCCCTCCTTCCAGACAGATCCGCCCCTAAAGCCTCTTAAGCAACTGACCCCGGGGAGCCAGGCTGGTTCCCACGTCCTGGCCTCTGCCCACACCATGGCCCCTGCCTAGAACTCCGTCCTAGCTTCCGCCCGATTCCCTAACACCCCGCTCAGTTCCCAACTTAAATGTGGTGGATGCTCGAAGGGCGTGATTAAAATACCCCTCCCCCTGTTCTACCACTGCGCTGACAGTTCTACAGCCACTTCTGCAAGCCCTGGAGAAAGGGATGCCTGGCCCAGGGGAGCTGAGACGGACTTCAAGAGAGAAGCACACCTCACGAGCATCCAGACCTCCAGCCCAGGACCAACAGAGGGACAAACAAGACCCAGGAATGGGCTCAGAGGGCGGGAACCCCAAGTCCCTGCCACCTGCCCCACAGGGGAAAGTGGCCAGGGAGAAGTAACAAAGAGCTCCCTCCCTACCAAACCCCTGATAGAGAGCCCGTCAATTCTTCCCAGGACCCCAGGGCAGCCAAGATACCTGACCCTCAGAAGAGAAGCAAAACCCAAACACATGACAGAAAGCTGGGAGCCTCTAGGAGGTTCAGGAGACTTCTGAGTAAGAGGGGCAGCTGCTCCAAACCAGGTCACCTTTATTAAGCTCATCTTGTGTGTGTGCGTGTGTGTGTGTGTACACGCATGCATATGCATGAAAGCACATACTTTAGGCCTGGGGCACCACCCCATAAAGCTGGTGCGGAAGTAACTTCTGCTTCTCGTTGCAACTGTAGATCCATCGGGGGCGGACAAACACCAAGGAGGGGTTGTCCATCAGGGCCTGCAAGGTGGAGCGGGGTGCATATGGGAACATGTGAGTGAGGAGGGGATGGAGGTGAGTGAGGAGGGGATGGAGGTGACACAAGGACGGGTTGGGTGTCCCTTTCCCTGCCCCTCTGGAACTCACCTCTTCAAAACTGGGGTCCCACTCCTGTGCTGTGATCACAAACTGGACCCTGTCGCTCATGTAGTCCTCAAGCTCCCTGGCAGGAGAAGGAGGGAAGCAGAGAATCAGTGTCCCCTCTCTTGACATCCTGGTCCCCAACCACTCTCCAAGGCTACCTGCGGGCCCCCGTTATTCTCCCCTGTGCCAGCCTTGCCACAGCCACAATACCGAGGGCTCCCACTGCTGCTGCGCCTTCCAGAGGCCGGGCCGGGGGGAGCCTCATCTTAGAGAAGAGGAAGAGAGGGAACGCTGCTCGTCCAGGGCGGCCGAGCAGAGCGAGCAGGGCCTGTGCCCATCCTGCAGGGCGTGCCCCTTCTCCGTCTTCCCGATCACTTTCCTTCCCACAGGCTAGCACCACCTCTCCCTACCCGCGCCCCCACCCCTGCACACTGACCCATTGAAGGCTGTGACATATCGGCTGAGCTTCCGCCGCTCGTCCCCAGGGAACTCTCCGTACAGGAAGAAGTGTTTGCCCTGGAAGAAGTCTGCAGGGGAGAGGGTGGAGGAGGCAAGTGTGAGGCCCCCGGAGTTTCAAAGCCCCAGCCAGGAGCCACAGAACACTCGGAGCAAGACGGGAAGGAGGCCGGTACAGCGGCTGGAGAGGGGTGTTCATGCAACCCTGGCAGAGCCATCCAGGACAAACGGTGCTTCTCAGCCAGGCCTGTCAGAACCTTTCTGGGAGCTGGGTGTTTTCCAGTACCTTCTCGGGCTCTGACCTTTAGGACGGCTCTTTTCTTTGTTCCATTTTAACATGGTTCTCCAAACCATCAACTTGCTGATGCCACTTTTGGGGCTTTGAAGGATCAAAGTACTTTCCTGCCCATCACCCACAAGGAGCCGGATGGAAACGGCCTCTTCCAATCGCCATTGACCCTCACCTCTGTTCAGACCCTGGCTGCCCAGCTTCTCCCTCCATGCTCTGCTGGTCAAGGCTCTGACCCCTGCCTCCATCCCATGCCCCCTGCATTCGTGTTGGGGTGACAAACAGCAATGCCATCACCACCTAGGTCGCAACAGAGATCAGTGCCCACATCATCTGTATGCCTGGGTGACCTCCCATTCCAACAAAACCAAACCTGCGGGGCAGGTGAGGGAGGTGCTGTTCGCACTTGGAAAGCCAAAGGGGGTCACACCCGGCAGAGGACTGTGATGGATGTGGTCACACCAGGAAGTCAGGAGGGGAACAGAGGGAAGGCATGAGAGGATGCCTGTTTCCTAAGGCAACAAGAAGGTAGCAGAGGCAGGGAGTATGGGCGAAGGAGGTGGGGAGACAAGTCACAAGTCGTGGGGAGCAGCCACGATCCGAGAGCTGGCTGGGGGGCCACAGCTGAGAACTGAGAAAGACAAATCCCACTTCGGGAGGCAGGGAGGGATTTCCTACCTGGGAGCTCAGGAACTGGCAGGTCAGGAGACTCTGGGGGACCCTCGTTGTCTGTGTTCTCATCTGTGGATCCTGCATACGGGTCCTCGCCATTCTCCCCCTGGTCAGGGGGCTGCTTTTGCTCCCTTTGCTCGGCCACCCTGGGAGAGTCAAAGGGGGTGGGGGAAGAGCATGAAGACCAAATCGCCCTCCACCCAAGCCTGGGGCCACCTCGACTCCCGAGCCCCACCATACCTTCTCAGCTCATCCTCGGTATCCCCAGAATCTTCTGCCCCATTGCCCTGTTCTTCTGTAAGTGGAAGCTTAGTCAATGCAAGGCACGTGCTTGGCAACCCTCCCTCCCAGCCTTTTTCCCCAGCACAGATGCAGGCATGCCAACCCCCAACCTCAACTGCCCTCCAGATCCAGTTATCTCAGACCCTCAGCCTTCCCTCCCCCAGATCCATTGTCTGGGATCTAGCCCCTCCTCCCTTAGATGCAAGAGTCTGGGTTTCTAGCCCCCTCCTCCCTCAGACAGGAGTCCAGGCCCCCAGGCCCTCCTCCTCCCTCAGACCCAGGAGTCCAGGCCCCCAGGCCCTCCTCCTCCCTCAGACAGGAGTCCAGGCCCCCAGGCCCTTCTCCTCCCTCAGACCTAGGAGTCCAGGCCCCCAGCCCCTCCCCCTCCCTCAGACCTAGGAGTCCAGGCCCCCAGGCCCTCCTCCCTCAGGCTCTGACCTGACTGCTCCCCCTCAGTGTCGGTATCTTCCTGGGGCCCTGGTGAGGCTGGTTTGGTCTCTTCTGGGGTTTTGGGTCTCTGAGGTGAGCTGGGTCCTGCTGCCTGAGGGGGCTTGGTTTTGGTCTGGGGGCGCTGAGGAGGGAGGGGGCAGCATGCGTATGAGTGTGTGTTCTTGCAGAAGGCAGGAGTGGAGAGTCTGGGGTACCACAAGAGACCCATGTCCTCCTCCCACTGCACCCTCCCCCACGCCAGGGCAGGAGGCATAGGACCTTTTGGGGAAGCTTGGGGGCTTCATCCCCGCTGCTGCCGCTGTGGGAGCCCCCTTCATCCTCACTGCTGGAGCTTGGCCCTGCCATGAGATACCTAGGGGAGGAATCCGGCCTCAGACAAACAGCATATCATGCCCTTCAGGGGAGATGGGGTGGGGGGAGGGTGCTCAGGAAGCCACAGTGACTGGCATGTACTAATCGCTCAGGATGCCCTGGCTTCCAGCTCTGGAAGGGCCCCACTGAAGCTGTCAGGCACCGCAGCCACCCCCAACAGAGACCTCACCTTCGGGAGGGCAGCCGCCGCCGCATTCGGTGACAGTCCAGCACCCACTCTTTCCGCACGATGCGGCCTCCGAGGCCTAGGACCTGGCTGTACTTGGGGGTGTTGGCAAAGGCACAGCTGGTGGGGAAGCAGAAGGGAGGGTGTGGTCAGTCAGGTGTGGTCTGAGCGGGGAAAAGGGAAAGAGAGACAGGGACAGGGGGAAAAAGAGAGATAAGTCAGAGACAGAGAGAAAGAGATGGATATGAGAGAAACAGAAAAAGACATTAGGAGACCAAGGGAAAGATGTAGGAATCAGAAAAAGAGGCAGAGGATACAGAGAAATGAAGAGACAGAGATAGATGGGTAGACAGGCAGACAGGGAGAGAGAGAAAGCAAGATGGAGGAGCCAGAAGGAGAAGAAGAAGCAGTGGGGAGCAAGGAGAGGAGGAGGGCATAGGCCTACATGAGGTGGGTGCTGTCTGGAGTCCAGTCCGGCCGATACTTGGCCCCCAGCTCTAGGGCCTTGTCCCGGAGCTCCGAACGGAAGGGGTTCTGGAAGCCACTCAGCACCACCACCACACCCTGAAGGATCTTCCCCAGCTCCTGCGGGCCAGCTCGGGATCCCCTGGGCTCAGTGCCTTCTCGGGTCTTCTCTGGCACTGTGCCTCGTGCTGGGGCAGGGACTGGGGTGGTGGCCGGGGTGCGGGTGGGAGCTGACACTGGGGAAGACAAAGAGTGGATTCATTTAGTACTACTGGGACTAAACCCAGCCCTCCTCCCTCAGACCCAGAAGTCCAGGTCCCCAGCCCCTCTTCCCTCAGACCCAGGGGTCCTGCCCCCAGCCCCTCCTCCCTCAGACCCAGGAGTCCAGGCCCCCAGCCCCTCCTCCATCAGACCCAGGAGTCCAGGCCCCCAGCCCCTCCTCCCTCAGACCCAGGGGTCCAGGCCCCCAGCCCCTCCTCTGTCAGACCCAGAAGTCCAGGTCCTCAGCCCCTCCTCCCTCAGACCCAGGGGTCCTGCCCCCAGCCCCTCCTCCCTCAGACTCAGAAGTCCAGGCCCCCAGCCCCTCCTCCCTCGACCCAGGGGTCCTGCCCCAGCCCCTCCTCCCTCAGACCCAGGAGTCCAGGCCCCCAGCCCCTCCTCCCTCAGACCCAGCGGTCCAGACCCACAGCCCCCTCCTCCCTCAGACCCAGGGGTCCTGCCCCCAGCCCCTCCTCCCTCAGACCCAGGAGTCCAGGCCCCCAGCCCCTCCTCCCTCAGACCCAGCGGTCCAGACCCACAGCCCCCTCCTCCCTCAGACCCAGGAGTCCTGCCCCCAGCCCCTCCTCCCTCAGACCCAGGAGTCCAGGCCCCCAGCCCCTCCTCCCTCAGACCCAGGGGTCCAGACCCACAGCCCCCTCCTCCCTCAGACCCAGGGGTCCTACTCCCAGCCCCTCCTCCCTCAGGACAGAAGAGCACAGGCCCGTACAAGAACAAGGAAGCCAGCACTCACATTTGGGTCTCTTGACGGCAGGTGGTGAGGGCTGGGCTGATGGTTTGCTGGGCGTCTTCCCTTCTTCTTGGTTCAAATCCAACTTTCTCTTCCCTTTGGGGGACTCCTGAGGCTGAGGGGTTGGGATGAGTTGAGGCCCCTAGCCTCTCTCCGCCCTCTCCACCCCCCAGGGTCTGACTACGTCACCTTGGAGGTGCTGCCCACTGCCCTGGACACGGGAGAGGCTGAAGAGGTGGCGCTAGAGGCCTGCAGAGTAGCAGCGGCATAGCTGGGTCCGGCCGGGTCACCAGCTGCGGCTACCGAGGGAGAAAGTGGAGCCAGGGTGAGAGGGCTGGGCCCTGAGAGCCTTCCGCTCCTACCCAGGGGACAGAATGTTGTTCCCAAAGCCCAGTAGTGATCCGGTCAGTCCAGGCCCCCAGCCACCTCCTCCCTCTGACCCAGGAGTCCCTAGGCTCCTCCTCCCTCAGACCTTCAGGTTCCAACCCTGGACTCCCTGAGGACTCAAGCTGCCACACTTACCTGGGGAGGTCTTATTGATCCGGCTGAAGAAGAGGGCCCCGGGTCTCAGGGAGTTGGCACCCTCATCCTCCTCCTTCACGCGGAACTGGCCAAGCTTGGTCACCTTCTAAGGTCTCACAAGGTCAGCACAGTGAGTGGCTGTTGGCAGGTGGGGGTGAGGCGGTAGGGAGAAGGCTCTGGGGGTAGGTGGGTAGAGCTTACCTGGGGTGAGGCCTCTGCCTCCTCTTTGTCTGGGGGGCTGTGAAACCGTATAAAACTCAGGCCATAGGCGGAGTCCTGGGAACAGAGGGTGGGGGTCAGGAAGTCTGGCCAAGGACAGAGGCCTGACCCCAAGCCCCTTTCACCTGGCTCTTTCCCTCTTACGGACACACATGTCTAGGGAGGTGCCCAGAGGACAATGATGACAATAATAACATCAAGCTGCTAGTGAGCCCTAACTCTGGGCTGGGCTCAGCTGTGAGCCCTTTATGTGCACCAGCTCCGTTAAGCCTCATGGCAAGTGACAGAGGCTTGCTGGGGGTCCGAGTGAATCCTCTCCCGCATGCCCGAATTCCTGACCACAGAATGGGAGGGAGCACTGTGTGCCACTTCTGGAACACAGAAATGCTCCAGGCTCTTTCCCACTCTGCCGGCTGGACACAGAGCCTGGGTCCCTGGATGACCGGACAAACATCCCCCAAGACAGGTCCCTGGGTAAGAAGTCTACCTCCACTGTGTGGTGGACATATGTCATGACATACTCAAGTCTTGCTGTTACCAAAGCTTAGCATCCCTACCTCACAGCAACCCTATGAGGAGCAGGAAACTGAGGTCAGAAAGGTTAAGTCACTTGCCCAAGGTCACATAGCTAAGAAGTGGTGGACTCAGCGTCTGATTCCAGATCCCGTGATGGTAACTGTTAGACTGCTCCTCTGCCAAGACAGCTGCCCCCTTTCCCCATTCCCCTCTGAGATCCTGCAGTTCGCCCTTCCCAGACATCCTCTAGGGAATGAAGCATCACCTATGAGAAGGATCGCAAACCCCTTCAGAGGCCTCTGGGACCCAGCCTCCTCCCAATCCCCTGGGGAGATCAGCTGCCCCATCCTCCCAGCCCTCTAGGACTCAATGCTGGCCCCTCACCTCGCTCCTTGCCCAGGACCGAGGACCCTGCACCCCCAGTTCCCGCCCCAGGTACCTTGCTGTAGGGCTGGCTGCAAACGATTTTGATGCGGTCCCAGCGCTTCTCCGCTGCTGCCCGGACCAACTTGTCGGGCCCGAAAATGCGAACACGGTTGGGGTTTGAGCCACTGCGGCTCTCGGAAGGGGACATAAAAGATGAAGTGACCAGCAGGACCTGGAAGAAGGAACATCGAAGGAGAACCAGGGCTGGCTGCCTTAAATGACACCTCCTGGGGCTGGGAAAAAAGCAGGGGCCTGAGCAGGGCTTAGGGAGTCACCAGATCCAGCCTGCACCTCCACATGTCTCAACGCCTCTCTCTTCTCTTGCTTCTGGGCCTCAGGTCAGTTCCTCCCTGACACAGGCCCCAGAGGGATCCCTCCACTTCCAGGTCTAAATGAACCCCCTCCAAATTCTTTCACAGGGTCTCCTCTATCTGGCCATAGAGCCCGCTACCGGGCCTTAAAGAACCCTCCCAGCGGAGAATAATCACAGTGACTGGCATAATGTTCAAACACCTTTTGGAAATGCACAGCTGAGTTCACGGAAAGCAGAGGAAGTATCGGGGAGTCCAGGCACAAGAGAGCGGAATCCAGAGAGCTAGGAGAGTTGCACCTGTTATAAGTGATTCTCTTGGGGCTCAGCGCTGGGATGCTGGGTGGGGACATGGCTGCCTCTTCGACTGCTCCTTCTCGGGCCCTGCCAGTAGGGGGAACTATGGAGAGGCTGCGAGGCAAAAGGAGGGAGGACGGATGTGCTCCCCGCTTCTTGAGGCTCCAGTGAGCATCACCCCTGGTGTGCTTCTGTAGCAGCCCCTCCCCAGGGCAGCCAGCGAATCTGGTTTCAGCGTCTTATCACCTGCGGAGCTAGCGTCATCTGGCCCCTCTCAGGGATTCCGGCGCCGGCTCCTCAGGGTCTGAGTTTCAGCTCTGTGGAACCCCACTTCCAAGCTTCTAAGCATTGACGTTTCAGGAATTCCAACAATATCGCTGTTTCCCTGACCCCAGGCGTGGCAGTTGCTCGCCGCATTACTCCTTCACCACACCTCGGTCTTCTTGCCTCTCGGGTTCAATACGTAGCTGCTAATTCTTTAGGTTAAATTCTCAATTTCAATAACTGGTGTGGTTTCAGTCTCTTGGCAGGACCCTGACTGATAGGGTGGGTGGCACTGAGGTTGGTGTTTGCCGGGGCTGCTGACTCTGGGTGCCAGAGAACATAATTTTAATGGGGGGGGGCGGGTAGTGGAGACGGGAACAGAAGACAAAGCCGGGGCTCCAGCAAGGAAGAAGAGTAGCTCAGAGACCATCACCAATTCATATGGAGCTTAGCCCCCTCAAAGGGCAACACCCTCCGTGAGTAAATTAGGGGAAAATGTGCCTTGTGGAGTGTCAGTGGGAGGCCCTCACTCTGGAGGACAACAGAGAAAACATGAAAACTGCTCTGGAGGAATCCTAAGCACAAGTCTGTACTCTCAAGGATTTGGAGCAAAAAATTCACATGAGCTATCTGCATGGAAAAACCCAAGCTGAAGACTTTAAGTGGTCCTGATGTGGGAAACAAAGGCAGGAAAAAAATTATTAAGTTTCCTTACTACCTACAGCCCATTGACAAGTCCTTGAGACAGGCAGAGTGACATTCCTCTAGGGACTCAGCTGCCTCGATGTTAATACTTTGCTAAGGGCAAAAGGCAATCTTAGCCTGACCCCTAGGATCCTGTAAATCTACTTTAACATACAAAAATTCCTTTGGAAACTTCCTTTATCTCTACTCCCCAAGATACATGTTGGCAGTCATCCTCCAAGCATATGACCCACCGATATACATCTGAAGAGTCTCATGACTGAGTTTTTACTAAAATAAATGACCTTTTCCTAACAATAGCTAGCCTCCTCAGGATCCTGGAAACCTTGTTTCCAAAATAACTGGGAGGCTTACGCTCTCCCTAACCCCTTCCGAACTTGAAAGTATATATTGGGCCACTCCTCATGACCCCTTCTGCCCCGGGGTCCTGTCCCTGTGCTTTAATAAAACCATCTTTTTGCACCAAAAACATCTCAAGAATTCTTTCTTGGCCGTCAGCTTTAAACCCTAACATTTTTCCTACAGCAGACCCATGTATACAAGATCACCTGAAACCGTGGCGGACCCTCTTTGGAGGAATGTACTTCAAACCAAGTCCTCAGAGATTTCCCACAGACACATTCCTAAAGAACAGCGGTTAACACACACACACACACACACACACACACACACAAAACCATGAGGCATATGGAAACAAGCAGCAGAAACCACAAACTGCAGCGCGCCTGGGTGGCTCAGTTGGTTAAGCGACTGCCTTCGGCTCAGGTCATGATCCTGGAGTCCCGGGATCGAGTCCCACATCGGGCCCCCTGCTCAGCGGGGAGTCTGCTTCTCCCTCTGACCCTCCTCCCTCTCATGTTCTCTGTCTCTCATTCTCTCTCTCACAAATAAATAAAATCTCAAAAAAAAAAAAAAAAAAAAAAGAAACCACAAACTGCAGACTCAGACTCATGAAGGCTGCATACATTGAAATTCTCAAACACACAATATAAAAGTATATTTAATAGTTTAAAGAAATAAATGGAGTTCCTGATGGTATGATGAAGGGACAAATGAGAATCAAACGGACCAGGCAGTTCTGAAAAAGAGTGGAAGAGCTATGTGCCCAACACTAAGGGATAAACCATGATTGGTCCAAGCCGTGCAATTAATTCCCTCTGCCAATGGCCGGTCGGGGTCGGGCACATGACCCAGTTGGCCAATGTGATGGTAAGAGGAAGGCTGCTGGCGCCTTCTGGGAAAGATCTTCCTTCCTCATTACTGAGAAACAGGATGGAAGACAGCCACTGAACTCCTGCCATTCCACTTCCTCCAATCCCTGCTTTGGGTGCTACTAGGTGACGGATGGAGCAGCAGCAATCCTCTTGTAACTGTGCGGACAAGTCCAAAGAATCAAGAGGTGCCAACCAAGCACCCCGACTGCCAGATCAACTCTGGGTCTGCCTAATGCTGGACTTCCCTCCCAAGGAAACAATAAATATTCTTACGCAGTGAGCCAATTTGAGTTGGCTATGTTCTGTTTTACTTTGTGTTTTCTCACAGACATGCTGTGAACTTTGGTGAAATCAGAAAAGAAAGCCTTTTGCTGAGAAAAACATTGAATCTAACTATTGGCCTCTTTGTGCTCAGCTCTGATTATGAAGAGGAAACAACAAAGACAAAGACAATTCTACAGAAAGAAAGCTGTCTCCCTGGCCTTGACTTTTTTATAAAAGGCCTGACTTTGAGCCGACAGGGGAGCTGATTTGATCACCCAGTGACAACAATGAAGGGGCAATGCGAACTATGGCGGGCAGCTGCTACCCATACCACCAGGTAGATGTCCTCACTCCTCCCATTCGTTGGAAAAAGAAAACAACTCTAGTTACCCGACTTTTATTATCCGACACTGTATTTAAGGTTCTAGGGCTAAACCTTTATTCTCTAGACTATGTTAACCTTGAAAGCTTATGTATTTCCCTTGTAGAATTTGGAGGAGGAAGAAAAGAACAGGTTGATCTTGCAGGAAATGGTATTAGTTATTACACGAGGTGCCTTACACTTGATTTGTACAGGCAACCCCAATGTGGACCAGCCCTGCTCTGCCCTTCAATTTCATTTTCTTTCTGGACTCCTCCAGCCCCATCTGTTCTCTGGGTGGAAGCTAAACAACACAAGTCCCAGGGTCTTTTTTTTTTTTTTAAGGTTTTATTTATTTATTTGACAGAGAGAGAGAGAGAGAGCACAGGCACGGGGAGCGGGAGAGGGAGAAGCAGACTCCCTGCTGAGCAGGGAGCCCGATGCAGGACTCAATCCCAGGACCCTGGGATCATGACCTGAGTCAAAGGCAACCACTTAACTGACTGAGCCACCGAGGCATCCCCCAAGTCTTTAATTCAGTCTTGGTTAGAAGTTATAATAAAAATGCAGGACTCCAGCAGAAGTTTAATCAAAATTCTTGAAAGAATGGGAGACTTTTGGGCATCGGCATTTTCAGAATTTGAAAAGATAAAGCCCCGACTGCCATTCCACCTTGCTAGACAGATAAGAGGGCTAATAATAAACATTCACCTATAAAGATATAATAAAACTGTAACTAAAAACGCACTTATTCAGTTTTCATCATTACAAATAGAATTTTGATCCAAATCTGTTTGCCAAGAACAGAGAATTTTTTTTAATAGTCCCCAAAACTGCTGACTTTGTTAAAACAGTTAACAAGCAGGGTTTCTGGGACTGGGTGACTCTAGTGCTTAGGGAGCCTCTGTAAATAAACCCAAATCTAAGCCAGAATCAGAAAATGAAATGCAAACACAATGAATCATAAACAGCCAACTAAATTTCTCAAGTCTGAGAAAATGAAATTCAAGAACCACTATTTTAACAGCCAAATAACTAGACTTTCCCAAACAAGACAACTGTTTAAACTCTAGCCAATTTGGTTTGCTTCAGCGTCTTCTCTATAAAAACCTCTGCCCTAGCCTACCCACAGAACACCCCTAATCATTTTCAGTTTGAGCCCCCGAGTTGAATTGTTTGTTCAAATAAACCTTCAAAATTTCATGTGCTTCAGTTTTTTTTACAACTTATATAACCTTTGAGAATGAGAATGTTTGCCAAAGGAAAACCGCATTTGTGAAAATGTACCTCACAGATCAGAAAAAGCACTTGACAAAATTCCATGCATGTTCATGAAAAAAGCTCTCACCAAAGTAGTCTAGAGAAGAATGTCCTCAGCCTGACAACACACATCTATAAACAAATCTCCAGCTGACATTGTATTTCATGGTGAAGACTCACCACTTTGCCAGTAAGATCAGGAACAAGACAAGGATGTCTTACTCTCACCACCTCTATTTGACACTGTACTAGAGATACTAAGTGTGATAAAATGAGAAAAAGAAAAAAAAAAGCATAAAGATTAGAAAGAAAGAAAACTGTCTTTATTCACATACAATGTGATTGTCTAGGAAAAAAAAAAAAAACCCCAAGGGATCTACACAAATCCCATGGGATTCTCCTATAAAAATTAATCACTAAATTTAGCAAGGTCACAAGATACAAGGTCAAAATATAAATATCAATTTTATTTTTATTATGCTATCAACAACTGGGAAATGAAATTTAAAAACATATCATTCAGGGGCACCTGGGTGGTGCAGTTGGTTAAGCGTCTGACCCTTGGTTTCGGCTCAGGTCGTGGTCTCAGGGTCATGAGATCGAGCCCCACGTCAGGCTCCCTGCTCAGTGTGGAGTCTACTTGAGATTCTCTCTCCCTCTCCCTTGGCCCCCCCCCAAATAAATAAATAAATATTAAAAAATGTATCCCTCAAATAGCATCAATAATTTAGGCAAGAATCAATAACAGATGCTGAAATTAGTGCATACAAGTTTGTGGAGTAACAAGATATTTATATAGCCTCAAAGTATTTCCCCATAATACTTATTCATTACAAAGGGCAAAAGAGTAATTTTACAGTGAATGAGCCTGGCCCTCACCACCTTAACAAAAGGACCCAAGTTACCACCATCAGTAATAGAGCAAGTCAGTGGCATGTGCTCCTATCTGATGCACCGAGAAAAACACAACATTACTTCTGTGGTGTTCTGGCCAAAGGTGTACAGCCTACATGTAATCATCAGGAAACATCATTTTGTACAATGAGTGATATTTTACAAAGTCACTGACCTCTATCATTCCAAAATGTGAGTGGCATAAAATGACAAGAAAGTCACGAGAACTGTTCCCAGGGAAAGGAAACCAAGCAGACATGACAAATCAATGCAATGCATGATTCTGAATTTTCTTTTGCTATTAAGAACATTATTGGGCTGATGAAGAAAATCTGAATAAGGTCTGAGATCAGATGACAAAGTACTAGATCAAGGTTAGTTTCCTAATTTTGATTAATTGTACTAAGATTAAGTAAGAGAATGTCTGTCTTTTTAGGAAATATCCACTGTAGGGAATAGGGATAACACAAAATCACGTATGCAACTTACTTTCAGTTCAGTAAAAAATATGTACCTATGTGTTAACACTTGGGGAATCTGAGTGAAGGTTATAAGGGAATGCTTTGTACTACTTTTGCAACTTTTCTGTAAGTCTGGAATAAATGAAGTTATTGACAAGCTGGTTTTATAATTTACATGAAAATAAATGCTAAGGATCTAGAATAGTTAAGAGACTATTGAAGACCAAAATTGGAAGTCCAACACAATCTGATTTCAGTATTTACTATTAAGACAGTGTGGTATTGGCACAAAGATAAACATATGTATCAATGAAACAGAATAGAAAGTACAGAAATAAACCTACACATATATGATCAATTAATTTGCAACAGAAGAGCCAAAACAATTCAGTGGGAAAAGGAAAATCCTTCTTTCCTTTTTTTTTTTTTTAAAGATTTTATTTTTAAGTAATCTTTACACCCAATGTAGGGCTCGAACTCACAACCCTGAGATCAAGAGCTGCATGCTCCACTGACTGAGCCAGCCAGGCACCCCAAGAAAATATTTTTTTAGAGTATTTTTAATAAACATTAAAAAACAAAACAAAACAAAACAAAAACAGGAAAAAAAGGACCTTGTCCTCTACTTCACACAATATACAAAAATTCATTTGAGATGGATCAGAGATCTAAATGTAAAATCTAAAATTATAAAGCTTCTAGAAAAAAACACAGAAGATGGTGGCAGGCAGAATCATGGTGCCCCAAAGAGCTCCATGTGCTACTCCCTGGCACCTGTGAATATAACAAGAGAGACCTGGCAGATGTGATTAAGTATCTTGAGATGGGGAGATAAGCCTGGGTTATCCAGGTGGGCCCCGTATCATCACAAGGGTCTTTATAAGAAAAAGCGAGGCAGGAGAGTCGGAGTCACAGAAGTGAGGATGGAAGCACATGTTAGAGTACTGTCATCGCTGCCTTTGAAGATGGAAGGGGCCACAGGCCAAGAATGCAGGCGGCCTCTAGAAGTTGTCGTAGGTAAGGAAATGGATCCTCCCCTAGGGCCTCAGGAAGAAACCCAGCCTTGCTGACACTAAGATTTTAGCCCACTGAGACTGATTTTGGACTTCTGACCTCTAAAGCTGTGAGACAGTAGGTTTGTGTTACAGTTTTAAGCCACTGAGTTTGTGGTCATTTGTAATAGCAGCAATAAGAAATTAGTACAGGGAATATCATTATGACTTTGGGACAGGCAAATATTCCTTACAGAACACAAAAGGCACTCAGCAGTAAAAAAGAAAAGAGTAAAAAAAAGAAAGTAGTAAAAAAAAAAAGAAAAAGGAAGGAAGGAAGGAAGGAAGGAAGGAAGGAAGGAAGGAAGGAAGGAAGGAAGGAAGGAAGGAACTTTAAAAAACCTAGATTGATTGGACTTCATCAGCTCCATCAAAAGGCACTGTTAAGATAATGGAAAGGTGGGGTGCCTGGGTGGCTCAGTCGTTGAGCGTCTGCCTTCGGCTCAGGTCATGATCTCAGGGTCCTGGGATCAAGCCCCGCCTCGGGCTCCCTGCTCAGCGGAAGGCCTGCTTCTCCCTTTCCCACTCCCCCTGCTTGTGTTCCTGCTCTCACGATCTCTCTCTGTCAAATAAATAAATAAAATCTTTAAAAAAAAAAAAAAAAGAGGGGCGCCTGGGTAGCTCAGTTGGTTAAGCGACTGCCTTTGGCTCAGGTCATGATCCTGGAGTCCCGGGATCGAGTCCCACATTGGGCTCCCTGCTCAGCGGGGGGTCTGCTTCCCCCTCTGCCCTCTTCCCTCTCGTGCTGTCTCTCATTCCCTCTCTCTCTCAAATAAATAAATAAAATCTTAAAAAATAAATAAATAAATATATATATATATAAAAAAAAGATAATGGAAAGGTAAGTGCCTGGACCGTGATGAGCACTGAGTGAGATACAGAAATGTTGAATAATTACATTGCACACCTGAAACTAGTATAACACTGTATGGTTGTTTTTTTTTTTAATTTAATTTATTTATTTGACAGAGAGAGACACAGCGAGAGAGGGAACACAAGCAGGGGGAGTGGGAGAGGGAGAAGCAGGCTTCCCGCGGTGCAGGGAGCCCGACGCGGGGCTCGATCCCAGGACCCTGGGATCATGACCTGAGCCAAAGGCAGATGCTCAACGACTGAGCCACCCAGGCGCCCCAACACTGTATGGTAATTATACTTTAATTTAAAAGAATTTTTTTAAGATAATGAAAAGGCAAGTCACAGACTGGGGGAAAAATCTGCAACACATGTATCTGAAAAGAAAAAATAAATAAACCTATGCATGACAAAAAGACGTACAACCCAATAAAAAACAAGCAAAAGACCTGAACAGACACTTCATAAAATAAGATAAATGAATACTAGTAAGTCCGTGAAAGGTAACACGATGTCACATTACTTGTCAGGAGAATGCAACTTAAAGCCATAATAAAATACCACCATGTGGGACACCTGGGTGGCTCAGATGGTTAAGCGTCTGCCTTCAGCTCAGGTCATGATCCCACGGTCCTGGGATCGAGCCCCACATCGGGCTCTGTGCTCAGCAGGGAGCCTGCTTCTCCCTCTCCCTCTGCCTGCCTGTCTGCCTACTTGTGATCTCTCTCTCTCTCTCAAATAAATAAATAAAATCTTAAAAAAAAAAAAACCCACCACCACATGCCATCTGAATGGCTGAAATTTAACAAGTTAACAACTGGCAACATCACGGACAGATAAGGATACGGGGCAACTACAACTCTCAGCTTCTGCTGAAGAAAACGTAAAACAGTACAACCACTTTGGAAAACTGTCAATGTCCAATAAGGTTAAGACATACATCTACCCTAAGACAACGCAATTGCACTCTTAGGTATTTACCCAAAAGAGATCTCCATGCAGAGGCTTGTACAAAAATGTTCACAAGCAGCTTTCTTCATAATCGTCAAAAAGTGGCAAAAGCCCAGGCGCCCATCCACGAGAGAATGGAGAAACAAATTGTGGTCTCTGCCTGAGGTGAATGCTACTCGGCTGACATGCAGTATGGAAGAATCTCAAAAATACAGGACATTGACTGAAAAAAGCCAGCCACAAAAAGAGTACGTACTGTAAAATTCCATTTATATGAAATTCTGCAACAGGCAAAGCTAGTCTGGAGTGACGGAAGAGACCAGAGGATGCCTGAGCTGGCGAGGGTGGGGGGACGGGGAATGACTGCAAAGGGGTGCAAGGGACCTCCCCGGGATGCTGGCAAGGCTCCACGTCTTGACTTGGGGGCCGGTCACACAGGTATACAGTTGTCAGAGCTCCTCGACCCATACACTAAGATCTGTGCATTTTACTGTTTGCAAAATACACTTCAACTAAAAATAGTTTCTCACTGCAAGGAAAAAAACTCATCTTGTAAGAAACTGGTTTACTGTTTACTTAAAATTATAAACTTGCTTTTCCAAGTACGTTTATTTCTACCCCAAAACATTTTGTGGATTAGCCAGCTGGTTAACTATGATGTCACCAACCCAGCTCTAATGAATTCAACCAGTAAGAAAAGGATTGTGCCAACTTTTAAAATATTTGTAATAGAGCAGGGCGCCTGGGTGGCTCAGTCAGTTAAGTGGCCAACTCTTGATTTTGGCTCAGGTCATAGTTTCAGGGTCCCGGGATACAGCCCCACATCCGGCTCCAAGCTTAGCAGGGAGTCTGCTGGAGATTCTTTCCCTTCCCCTCTGCCCCTCCGCTCCTCACGCTCACATTCTCTTTCTCCCAAATAAATAAATCTTCAAAAATAAAATAAAATAGGGGCGTCTTGATGGTTGAGTCGGTTAAGCATCTGCCTTCAGCTCAGGTCGTGATCCTGGGGTCCTGGGATCGAGCCCATGTCAGGCTCCCTGCTCAGCGGGGAGCCTGCTTCGCAGGGAGTCTGCTTCTCCCTCTCCCTCTGCCCTTCCCCCCGCGCTTGCTTTTTCTCTCTCTCTCAAATAAATAAAACCTTTAAAAAATAAATAAAATAAATAAAATAAAATATCTTTAATAGAGCAAAAGGCATTCTTTCTTGTCAACATTTGTCCCATATAAAGTGACTAACGGGGCGCCTGGGTGGCTCAGTTGTTAAGCGTCTGCCTTCGGCTCAGGTCATGATCCCAGGGTCCTGGGATCAAGCCCCGCATCGGGCTCCCTGCTCAGCGGGAAGCCTGCTTCTCCCTCTCCCACTCCCCCTGCTTGTGTTCCCTCTCTCACTGTGTCTCTCTCTGTCAAATAAATAAATAAAATATTTTAAAAAAATAAAAAATAAAAAAAAAATAAAGTGACTAACAGAGGCATCCCAAACAATGCGGAATCTCGATTCGCCAGGACATCTGTGAGAACCTCTGGGACCACAGAAAAGCAGGTTTGCCCTCAAGCAGTGGCTGCCTCTTAGACCAAACAAGTGTGCCCGGTTGTTCACAGCCCCCTCCCCGAAGCAAACGCGGGTCTCTGCCCTGGTGTGCGGTTTATCACCCGTGCCTGCTCCTCCAGGGGGCAGAGGGCAGTGGGACTCACCCAGGAGGCCCTGGCGGGAACGGGGCTGAGGGCACCTGGGGCAGGGATCAGCATGGGGCTCAACTTGAAGCCCTGCTTACCTCGTAGTCTTGCTCCCCAGCCCCTGCAGCCGAGCTGCCCACCAGCACCTCCACGAAGGCTGAGCCGTCATTGCCGATGTCCACGCTGTGTATCTTTTCCTCCTTCTCCAGCTGTGGGAGGGGAAAGCCCACTGTCAGGGCCTGCTCTGCCCCTGGCCTCACTGTGGGCCCTCGGGAGAGGTCTGACCCCCAGCTGGGCTGCCACGTCCCCTCGCAATGTCCGCTCTGTGACAGTGGGAGCCAGGGTAAGGGGTGTCACCATGTCCCCCGTGTGTAGCACAGGGCATGGCCCAGAGGTTGGAGCTCAGGAGATCTTCCCTGGATGAATGCATGAGCCCCCATGCTTGCCTCCCCAACACCTCCAGACTCCGCCAGATCGGTGTGGAACCTGCTGCATGGAGCTCTCCGTGGTAGCACCTGCCAGGGTTCCAACTTCATTCAAATAATCATGCACACAAATGGCACATCTATCCCCTCTCCCCCCCAGTCACACAGGACTCTGAGGAAGCTCCCCCCAGGTAGGGGCCTGGTGTGGTTTTGCTCACCATGGCTTCCTGGGTTTGAATCCCAGCTCTGCCATACACTAGCGAAATGGCCTTGTCAGCCAGTCTCTGGGAGCCTCAGTATCCTCATCTGTAAAATGGGGATAATCACCAAATCCAGGAGTATACACACAAATACTATGGCCACACTACACAGCATGTAGTAGACACTCTGCCCCGGTCAATCAGGAGGCACTGTTAGTCAATGCTCCATAACTACTTTCTAAAGGAAGGAAAGAGCTATCTATGTGGAGGAAGGCTCCCCGAAAAAGGGTCTGCCATTCCCATCTTGACAGTTAAAGGCACAGAAAGCCGTGTGGGGGTGGAAGGCAGTTAGGAATGGAAGATGCAAGTCGGCTCTCCAGTTCGGGGCTCTTCTCTTTGGCTTCTAGAATGACAAGTTATTACAGCACTCAAAGGTACCTAGTCCACCGCCCCCAGGAGCATCCGATGCTCCAGTCGGCCCTGTCACTCGCCCAGACTTCGCCTACATGCCGCCACACACAGAGACATCCCTACAGGGGAGGAAGGAGCCTGGACTTGGGGTGATGCGAGCCTGGGTTCAAATCCAGCCCTGCCATTTCTAAGCTGAGCAAGCCCGGGGGCCGTGCAACCTCTCTGAGCCGCGGTTTTCTTCCGTGTGGGATGGGCGGGCTGTCCTTATAACCCTCCTCCTGAAAGGAGCTGAGATGACTCACGAAAATAACAGCCACAGTAACACCTGCAGCGAACACTGAAGTGCTCACGTCGTACCGGACACGCAATACATGCATCCCCTCTCCTCACAATGGCTCACTTAACACACGAGCGAACAAAGGCAGGAAGCGGTTATGTAACTTCCCCAAGGTCGCACAGCTGGTGAGTGGCAGAGCCGGGCCTGCAGCCCAGGGAGGTTGGCTCGAGTCCACGCGTGCTCCTCCACCCCATCACGGGCACGCTGGAGAAGGAGGCAGTGCTGAGGGAAGGGGCTTCCCATGGCAGAGCCAAGCTGGCCTCCTGACAGCTCCCGCTGCCTCCACAGCTCTGAGCCCTGGGACGGTGTGTGGTGCTGCCCAGGTACACAGGTCCTAGTCTGACTTCTCAGCCTCCTGCCACACTTGATGGCTCCCCTCCAGCCACGCCAGCCTTCCTTCCGTCCCAAGAGCACAATGGCTCCTTTCCACCACAGGGCCTTTGCACCTGCCATCCCCACTGCCTAAACCACTCTTATTTTTCTTCAGTTATCACCACTTAATTATGTAACTACACTTTTTATTTGCATCTGTCTGGCATCTGTTTCCCCCACCAGACTTTTAAACTCCATGAAGGCAGAGACAGTATCTAAGTCATTCCCCACTGTGTTGTGAATGCTGAACAGTGTCTGGTCCTTCCCAGCTCTGCATACTTAGTCTGTGTGACCCTGGAGCAAAGAGTTTCATTTCACCCCTTGTGTCTCAGTTTCCTAACCTATAAAATGGGCACAGTGACAACTTCGAACTCAGAGAGTCGTTGTGAAGATTCAAATGAGGGATACATAAGAAGCCCCTGGAATAGTGCCTGCCATAGAGCAAACGCTCCTAAATGTCACCGGACACTGTTCCCACAGGAACTTCAATACGTTCCTGATGGATGGATGGACAGATGGACGGGAAGCGCCTAGTAACCATTTGCTGAAGGAACCAATGCCCCGAGTTGTAACTTGGGCTCTGCCCTTCCTGACCAAGTGGCTTTGGTGAGGCACTTGCCTCAGTGTCCCCATCCTGTCACAAAGGAATCATCGTGGCCAACACTTTCAGATTCTCACTGTGTGCCAGGGGCCTGGTGTATTCGTGTCCCACTGCTGCTGTAACAGATGACCGCAAACTCACTGGCTAACAACAATACCTCTTATAGATCTGGAGGTCAGAAGCCTGAAACTTGGTCTCACAGGGTTTCAATCCAGGTGTCAGCGGGGCTGCATTCCTTCTGGAGGTTCTAGGGGAGAGTCTGTTTCCTTGCCCTATTTCCAGCTTCTAGAAGCCACATGTGTTCCTCAGCTTGTGGCCCCTTCCTCTGCCTCCGAAGCCGGCGACGGCATCACTCCGGCCTCTGTTTCCCTCTTCATGTCTCCTTCTCTGGTTGTCCTGCCTCCCTCTTTCCTTATAAGGACCCCTGTGAGGATGCTGGGTCCCCTCCTATCCTCCAAATAACCCAAGCTAATCTCACTACCTCAAGATCCTAAACTTCACCACGTCCATAGAGTCCCCTCTGCTGTGTAAAGTGACACATTCCCAGGTTCTAGGGATCAGGACGTGGATGTCTTTTAGAGGCCATGACTCTGTCTATCACGATTGGCTAAGCTCTTCGTGGGCCGGGCATCCATGAATCCTCACCTCACAACTACCCTTAGGAGGAAGGGCCTGTTACTCTCCCGGTGTTACAGATGGGCAAAGAGGCTCAGACACGTTAAAGAAATAGCTCACATGTCACACGTGGCTAATGACGGAGAGAAATTTGACCCAGCAGCTGCCTGCCTACAGCCCCACACTCCTTCTCAACTCCCCTATTCCAACCCTCGAGGTAAAAAGCCAACATCTTTACCTTTCCCACGTGACAAAGCACAAGGCTCAATCTGTATTGTGAGTGAATGATTTTTTTTTTGCATATATTAACTACTTGTACTTTAAACACGCACATGTGTTTCTTCTTTGTGTATTTCTTGTATTTCTTCTTTGTGATAAAGAATTTCCGGCCACAGTGTTCACATATCGAGACAACCCAAACATCCATCAATTTATGAGCGGACATGCAGCATATGGTGTACCCATGTGATGGAACAGAAAAGGCTGACACACATGACAACACATAGGAATCTCGGGTGTATGCTCGGTAAGAGAAATCAGACACAAAGGTCATAGCGTATGATCCTGTCTATGTGAAAGGTCCAGAACATACAAATCTACAGTGACAAAAAGTGGATCAGTGGTTGCCGGGGGGGCAGCTTGGGCAGCGGAGGGAACAGGGAGTGACTGTTGAATGGTGATCGCTGGGCGATAAAAATGTTCTCGACTAGTGGTAGTGACTGCAGAACGCTGTCAAGATGCCAAGACCCACTGAATTGTACGCTTTACATGGCTGAGATGGTGAATTTCATGGTATGTGAATTTTATCTTAAAAAAAAAAAATTGGGGCGCCTGGGTGACTCAGTCGTTAAACGTCTGTCTTCGACTGAGGTCATGATCCCAGGGTCCTGGGATTGAGCCCCGTGTCGGGCTCCCTGCTCCACGGGAGGCCTGCTTCTCCCTCTCCCCCTCCCCCTGCTTGTATTCCCTCTCTCGCTGTCTCTTTCTCTGTCAAATAAATAAATAAAATCTTTAAAAAAAAAAAAAAAGCGAGGCGACCAGCCTCAGTTGGTTAATCGTCTGACTCTTGATCTCAGCTCAGATCTCAATCTTAGGGTTGTGAGTTCAAGCCCCACGCTTACTTAAAAAAAAAAGTAAGTGTTCAGCGTCAGCGGTTAGGAGACGAGCTCAAGCATGAAATGCCGGTCATCCGTGGCCAGGTTCATGTGCACCTTTCTCAGGAAGACATAACTCACGACAGGAAAACAAATGGGGCTGGGAAGGCTCGCAAAGTTCCTGAGAGACATTTTGTTAAAAAATTGTTCCACGTCCAGGAAAGGCAAGGTTATGCACCATTTAAAGGAATCAGGTATGGGTGCCTGGGTGGCTCAGATGGTTGGGTGTCTGCCTTCGGTTCAGGTCATGATCCTGGGGTCCTGGGATCAAGCCCCACATTGGGCTCCTGGCTCAGCAGGAAGCCTGCTTCTGCTTCTCCCACTGCTCATGCTCTCTCTCTCTCTGTGTCTCAAATGAATAAATAAAATCTTTATTTATTTATTTATTTATTTAGAAAGAAAGGAATCAGGTAGAACTTTACCCCATGCCAGTGGATCTCCAAGATCTATTGTTATTTGAAAGAAAGCAAGGGGGGAGAACGGTGCATATACTATGTACTTGGTGGAAGAGGTGGACAAACTTGTTTATGGGTGCTCAGTGACCCAGGAGGGCCACGTGAGAAACTGTCAACAGTGGCTGCCTATAGAGGGAACAGGACAGGGTGGAAACAAGCAGGGAGAGGAGGGTGTAAACCCTTTTTGCCTTTTAAATTTTGCACCATATACATATAATACTCATTCAAAAAGTTAATAAAACTGGGCGTCTGGGTAGCTCAGTCAGTTAAGCATCTGCCTTCGGCTCAGGTCATGATCACAAGGTCCTGGGATCAAGCCCTGTCGGGGACTCTGCTCAGCGAGGTGTCTGCTTCTCCCTCTCTGTCTGCCCCTCCCCCTGCATATGCTCTCTCTCTCTCTCTCTCAAATAAAGAAATAAAATCTTTTTTTTTAAAAAAAAGTTAATAAAACTGCAATGGTATTCTCCAGCTATGGAGTACTACACAGAAATGAGAACGAGCCATCCACAGCTACACCCACCAATGTGGATCAGCGTCACAAACATCAGGGGCGCCTGGTGGCTCAGTTGGTTAAGCGTCTGCCTTCAGCTCAGGTCATGGTCCTGGGGTCCTGGGATCGAGCCCCACATCAGGCTCCCTGCTCGGAAGGGGAGCCTGCTTCTCCCTCTCCCTCTGCCTGCCGCTCCCCCTGCTTATGCTCCGTCTCTCTCCCTGTCAAATAAAATCTTTAAAAATAAAAAAAGTCACAAACATCAGGCTGAGTGACAGCAGCCACAGACATCTATCCTGCGTGCTTCCATCTATATAAAATTCAAAAAGAGGCAAAACGAATCTGTGCTACTAAAAATCAGGACGGTTGCTACCCTGTGGGGCGAAGGGACAGGAAGGAATGCAGGGGGCCTGGGGCCCGGGCCCGTTCTGTGACTCGGATGTGGATGGCGTGTAGATGGGGAGTACGTGGCTTGCAGTCTGTGAGGATTCACTGAACAGTGTGCTTCGCTGTACACCTGTTACAAATCAAATAAGCGAAAAACAATTGAAAACGCCACGAGGGCAAACTGAATGGTTAGCAAGCCACTGAAAAACCACCACAAAACGTGCACCACGCTGCTGTTAAGCATTTCTTCTAAAGAACGCATGTCAGCGGGGCACCAGAGCTACCTGGACCTCGTCCCAGCCATGCCCTCCGGCCCAGGAGCGGTTAGCCAAGAAGCTGGAACTCCCCTCCTGGGAGTAGCTGATGGGTTATCCTCGGAGCCTCCGTCAGCTACCGCAAACAAAAAAGGTGTGTGGCCGTCACGAGCAGAGGGTTGAACCCTGTGTGGCAATCCAGATGTTGCATAACATGGTTGGGAGGAACACTCCACAGATTAATCCACACGCATCTGTGTCCGGAAAGGTCTGCCTTTCCACTCACTTGACAAGAACCAGAATTAGCATTAGATGAATCTGGAGTCACCCTGAATCCTGGCCATTGCCAAATGCAATCAGATTGCCCAAAGTGGGGGTGCCTGGGTGGCTCAGTCGTTAAGCGTCTGCCTTCGGCTCAGGTCACGATCCCAGGGTCCTGGGATCGAGCCCTGCATTGGGCTCCCTGCTCCGCGGGAGGCCTGCTTCTCCCTCTCCCATTCCCCCTGCTTGTGTTCCCTCTCTCGCTGTGTCTCTCTCTGTCAAATAAATAATCAAAATCTTAAAAAAAAAAAAAAAAAGATTGCCCAAAGTGTCTCTCATGTGGGATAAATTAACAGTCGCTGCGATGCCGCTTGCCCCCTGCGCTTTATTCTCAATGCGGAAAGCAGGATTCCATGAGAAGCTAAGTTCGCTTCTGTTCCTCCTTTGCTCAGAGCCCTTCAGTGGCTCCCAACTCATCCAGAGTAAAAGCTCAAGTACTTACGGTGGCTCTCAGGCCTTCAGCGTGTTGGGGGCCCTCCACCTCCGCCCCATTAGCTCATCTGCTTCTCCCCACCTTGGCTAACTCCACTGCACCCACACTGGCCTCCTTGCTGTTCCTCCAGCACGCCAGGTGCCAGGCCGCCGCAGTCTGTGTTTCCTCCCAGATCTTTACATAGCTCACTGTGCTCAATGTCACCTGCTCAGGGAGGCCTTCCTGGATCCCTATTAAAAGAAAAACCTCTTGGAGCGCCTGGGTGGCTCAGTCGGTTAAGCGTCTGCCTTCAGCTCAGGTCATGATCCCAGGGTCCTGGGATCGAGCCCCGCATCGGGCTCCCTGCTCCGCAGGAAGCCTGCTTCTCCCTCCCCCGCTCCCCTGCTTGTGTTCCCTTTCTCACTATCTCTCTCTGTCAAATAAATAAATAAAATCTTTAAAGAAAGAAACACTTCCTGTCACTGCCTCCTCCTCCAGCTGCAGCATTCCCCTTTCCTCTTAAGGGTTTAATGTTACTCCACAGCACTCACCATCCCTCTGACGCTCTTTACATATTGGTTTGTCAGTCTTTCCCTCCTAACATGAAAGCTCCACACGACTGACATATTTTGGTCTCGTGCTGTCTGCTGCTGTGTAGCTCCAGGACCTAAAACAGTGCTTGGCCTATAGAAGGCGCTTCATAAATAATTAGTGAACGAATGAACATAAGAATCCATTCACTCCTGAGTCTATAGGTCCTGCCCCTGTGCTGGCAACTTCCACACCTCTGTCTCCATCCAGGTCCGGTTCTGATTCCTAACTGCCACCTGGACCTCAGTCCCAAAGTCACGGCACGCCTGGACATTCCAGCTGAAGGTACACCTTCTCAAGCTGCCCCTTCTCTGGGTTTCCCATTTCAGTGACAGCTGCAATATCTCCCTCAGTCTCCCAGACCAGAGAACCCTGTGCTTTGCTCTGGCCCCTCTGGTTCCCGCATCCCCCTGTCACGTCTCTCTTCCCTCTGGTCTCTCTGCTCCCACTGCAACTAGGGTACAGAATGGAATGTGATTCTCCCAGGGTCACCTGATCCTAAGAGAACCCAGGAGAATCATCACCCAGTAATAAAAACACGAATCCCTCCCTTTACACAAACATCTACCTGTTGACAGAGCACTTTTGCAGACGCTATGTCACCTCATTTTCACAATGACCCCGGGCTTAGATCTCATTATTCTCAATGGACAGGTGAGAAAACAGGTTCAGAGAAATGGAAAAATGTGCCTGAGGTCACAGAATGAGTAAGAGGAAGAGATGGGGACTTGAATCCAGGTCCCAAGACTAAATTGTGAGCAACTTGTCCCTCCCTCAGTTTATATATTTATTTGTTTTGTACCTCCTCAGTTTTAAACACTGGCTTTAAGCAAGTGGCATAACCTCTCTGGGACTCAGTTTCCTCATCTCTCAAATGGAGATAATACTAGACTCTAGGTCATGGGGTTTTTATAGATTCAATGAGTTGATCCATGCGAGGTGTTCAAAAACATAACTGGCAGTTGCAATGTTGAACCAATGTCAGCTCTCATTATTATTACTCTGTTAGGGACTGAGAAGATGTTTAAACTTCTAAAATCAGAAAGTCTTATAGGTCTGCGTATTTTTCCTGGGGAGAGAATCCTCAGCTTCTCTGTAATTCTAAAAAGGCTCTGTGAGCTCCAACTTTTTCGGAACCACTGGGCAAAAGAGATATCAAGAAAAGGTTCAACACAATCATGTAAGCCTTGCTCCGCAACATCCCTCCCCAGGGGCGCCTGGGTGGCTCAGTCGTTAAGCGTCTGCCTTCGGCGCAGGTCATGATCCCAGGGTCCTGGGATTGGGTCCCGCATCGGGCTCCCTGCTCTGCGGGAGGCCTGCTTCTCCCTCTCCCACTCTCCCTGCTTGTGTTCCCTCTCTCGCTGTGTCTCTCTCTCTCTCTGAAATAAATAAATAAATAAAATCTTTAAAAAAAAAAAAAAAAGAAAGCCAGTGTGTGAACACAAAGCAGTGTGACAAAGTGTTCAGAGCACCAATGTGGGTTTGAGTCTTAGCATGCCATTGACTGATGGTGATAAGGGCCCCTGCGTCACACTGCACCTGTGAACAGCGAGATCATCCAGGCCAGTACCCAGCACAGAGCAGATGCTTCAAATATGCTTAGCTCTCTCCTCCCACCAGTTTCTTATCCGTGACAGGAACAGCCCGCTTGGAATTCTGTAACCATATGGGGTCAAACCACACTTTCCTCCATGCCTGCCTCCAACTTCACAGCACTGGGGTGAAGAGTGGGTGAGAGCACTCAGAAGAACCTGGCAAGCATTCTAGAATGGCACTTAGCCTAACCACGTCACTCCTCCCCACTTCCCGCTTCAGTTTCCCCATCTTTAAAGTGGGGTTGATTGGTTTCCATGAACTTCGGGGACACTTTCCAGCCCTGAGCCCACTGACTTCAGGAGGCAGGATAGTGAGAATGATGCACTCTGTTCCAGCTGAGGAAACTGAGGCCCAGAAAGTAAAAACAACCACACATTGATTCCTATGGTCATCCTGGCCTAGTCCTTGGGCCACCTGTGTCCTCTGCTAAGGGGCACAGCAATCACACTGCCCATTTTCCAGGTAAGGAAGCTGAAGTCCAGAAGGGAAAGTGTCTTAACCCACTGCCAGTTGGCTCAAGAGCCGTGTCTGAACCTTGAGTCTCCAGACTCCTATTAGGAAGGAGACAGGGGGAGGGCAGGATCACCTGGAGCACCACAGAGATGGTCTTCTCGCCTGCCTTGGCTGCTCGCCATTTTCGGTAAGTGTCCGCCTTGAGGAGGTTTTCTGCACAGTGGGTCTGGAGATAAGCGTGGAAAAAGGAAAGTAAGGGTACAGGGAAGAGAGCTCGGTCCCCGGCTCTCACATTATTCCTTTGAGTCCTCCCGAGCCCTCTGCGCTGCCCCCGATTTAAAATTCCCCGTTAATCCCACCACACCCTGCCTCGAGTCCCCTGTAACATTTTCCCCTGGATGCTCCCCAGTGCCTCCTTTCCCGACCGGAAGTTCCCCTATTCCACATCTCTCCCAGAATTCCCTCATAGCCTCCTGGAATTCCCCCATGACCCGCCACAGACTTCCGTGAAGTTCCCTTTCACTCTCCCAAAGTTCCTGTGGTGCCCCCGCATGGATTCCCTGACGTCTTCCAACCTCCTCCCAAGCCAGCTCCTCACCGAGTCCTGGCTACTGCAGGACACCACATGGCGGAGACGGATCTCCGGCATGTCAACGTCTTGGGCTTCGCCTGGCGCGAAGGATGAAAGAAGGTCCGAGTTTGGGGGGGGGGGGGGTGGGGGGGGGGTGCTCCCTGCGCGGGCTGAAGTGCGCAAGCGCACAGGCTTCGGGCCTTTCAAACCGCGGCGCGCCGGCTCACGCGTCGACGCCGCGCATGCCCAGTCTCGCCTCTCCGGAGCGAGGCGCTTAGTTCCCTAGCAACGGGCTTTCCTCTAAGCTCCGCCTCCCGGTGTTGTTCACACCCTGCTTTCTGGGCGCCTGGCAACAGGAGCGGCCTCCGGGATTGGCCCCTAGAAAAAAATTCGCCATTCTCATTGGACGATGCAGTCACCGCCCAAACTGAAGCCTTAGAAAATAGGAGAACGCAGACCTGACTGGTTTTTCCCAGGTAACCTGGAGCATACTGCTACGGGATCCTCTCCACGGGTTCCTGCGGTTACACTCCTCCCCGCTACCCCACCACCATGCACACACGAACAAAATCTCCGATCTCTCCAGGATTATGCCTGAGGCCAAGAGAGAGTGGATCAAAGACTTATCTAAATAAGACCCAAAGCATGCATCCAAACCAGATACACCCAACCTAGAATGCTTTCACCGATGCCTCAGTTTCCCAATATGTGACCTGTGGGCATCTGTCTCCTACCACGCCCGCCCCTGCCTGTTGACAGTCATCCCTCTGTTCGGTCCCCGTGAGACCCAGAGGTGCAGCCCCAGGCGGGATCGGAGCTGCGGACAGCCCAAACACAGAAGAGGGAATATGAGCCAAGCGCACGAAGAAGGAAGAGAGACAGGGCGCCTAGTCCCCCGCAGAACGAGCCTGGACATGCTGGGCCCTCCCAAGTAGGGCCCCACCCACGCTGGGCGCCTCCTTGGAAAGAGAGGGAAGAGAGAGGGGATCTCAGTCCTAGCAGCCACCCTATACCTAGAGGGAATCAAGTGACCCGACTCTGACCTTGGGCTTCAGGCCAGAAAAGAGGGGGAGAGGAGGGCGGTGGGAATGTGAGAAAACAGGAAAGTGACCTTCTGGGTCTTGATGGAAGAGGGGGCTAGAAGCCCAGAGTCCTAGGGTCCCTGTGGAGCAGGTAGCTGAGCATGAGATGCCCATGTCCCTTTTGGATTCTGGTTCCGTATCCCCAACGCAGAGCCACAAAGGCCTGCCCTGAGATCTTACCTCAGCTATTTCTCACCTCAGGGTGAAGGTGGATCCAGACCCGCCCCTCCTCAGCTTCCTATAAGGGCTGGGGACCTGGGACTACAGGTTCACTCACCATGAGGACTCCCATGAAACCGGGGACCTTCCTGCTGGCGTTTACGCTGCTCTGCACCCTCCTGGGTCTGGGTAAGTGAGAAGGGATCTGGACCATGAGGACCATGAGAGAGCACTCAGCAAGGTCTTGGAGGGGGACAGAGGTGGTGTCCTGGGAATTCAGATTCATGGTGAAGGCAGGGTCTGAAGGAAGAGAAAGCCTGGGGCCTCAAGGGAAGAAAAGCTCAAAAGTTCATGTGACTGGATCCCTGAGAAAGGAGGGAGCTTGGTGGGCTCTGAATCCTCTGTCCCCCCAGGCAAGGTCTCCAAATAAGACAGGAAGTCTAGGAAATTGGATGAGAGCATGACTAGAAAGGGAAGGAAAAAAAAAAAAAAGCTGGGGGGAGGGCAGCATGGGGGAGTAGAGATTTCCTTTCTTCCTGGATTCTAGAGTTCAGACCCCCAGCCCCCCTTCCCTTAGAGGTGGGAGTTCAGACAAGCTCCACCTTCCCCAGGACCCATGTCTGGGCCCCCAGTTGCCTCCTCTCTTAGGACCAAGGAGTCCATGCCCTCTGCCCTCTTGGTCTTGACTCTCCCTTCTTGATCTGGGATGAAGACCCCAGGCTCAGGTTCCCCTGCCTAAGCTCCTACCATCCCCAAGACCTACACCTGGTCTTGTGTCCAAGAAACAGCTGGACCTGAAGCTTCACAAAAGCCCTTGGAAACCTTCACCAGGACCCCTCCCTGTCCCCCAGCCTTCTCAGAGGACCCTAGCGTTCCAAGTCCCCAGCCTTGTAATTAGGGAAACAGGCTCCCCGGTGGAGTCGCTTCCCGCCCCTGGAAGCGGCCCTGCTGGCTTCCCCACCGCGTCCCAGCAAGAGCCCTGGACAGCTCCCTGGACAGCGGTCAGTGCTCCACCCCTGAACAATTAGGGAGACACCTGTCCCTCCTCCCTCAGGACTCCAAATCCGGCCCCCTTTGCCCCATCTCCCTCTGGACCCTGAAGTCTCATTGGTGGTCCGCTGACCATGCCCCTCATGTCGACAGCCTGGCTCTCTACACTGCAGGGTGCCCGCTGAGCTGTGAAGTGTGCCGGGGCTCCGGGCCCACGTGCAGCGGAAAAATGAAGGCCTGCGAGGCCGGCAAGGACGCATGCGTGGTCATCGTCGGGGAGTCGAGCACAAGTACGAAGAGGGTCTGGCGTCACACCCTGGGGAGGTGGTTGTGCCTTCAAGGGTAGAAGATAGCTTCACGCCAAGGGAGGGATCATCACGGTGCTCATGTGGGAGGTCAGGGAAGAGGGAAAGACTATCCTGAGGTGGTGGGTGGAAGGAAGCGAATTCAATGGGATGGTAGAAACCACTGTTCTCAGGGATTTCGGGAAAACGAGACTCTGCAAAATATTAGATTGGGGGGGCGGGGGCAGATATAGAGACTTTCTTAGGCAGGTGGAGATGAGGAAAGGAAAGGACATGGGGAACAGAACAGGTGAGAGGGGTAGAATCTAATAGGCAGGAGGTAGAATGGGGGTGGGGGAGGAATAAAAGAGAAAGAAGAGGCTGGTGTGGGTTGGGAAGAATGTGATCAGGTTGACCATTTAGGGTGAGAGGGAGGAATCGTCCAAAATGGGAGGAAGAGACCCCACCCCCACCCCCCGGGGATGGTGGGGGTGGTGCGGGATGGAAGGGACCATTCCCGACAGGAGGAGGTCGAGGGAGAGACATAAAAGGGGCCATGCCAGACAGGAGAGGAAAGAGAACCCTGAAGTATGAAGCAAATCGTCGTGAAGAGAAGTAGATGGAGATGGGGAGGCAGGTGGGTGAATTGGGAGAGGAGGGCGTGACTTCAATGGAAGGGACCGCCCCAGACCCGAGAAAGGATAGGGGAGAGGTGGAGAGACCACGGGGGCGGCGGGGGTGGGGGGTGGAGCGCAGGGCTTTTCATTCAAAGCTGAAAAGGACCATTCATTAGACACAGGAGGGGAGATGATGGGGCCGAGGCAGGTGTGAAGGCGGCGGAGCTGAGGGCCACCTGGAGTGTAGGAAGAAACCACGCCCTACCGGAGGGGGTGTGTAAGGAGGGTGGGATAGAGGATTGCACGCTGCCCTATCTAGCGAGCAGGCGTTGGCAGGTGGGCGAAAGGACCTGAAGGCCTTGAAGAGACGACCCCAGGCTTATAGGAGGGAGATTCAAACCCTGGGACTGGGGGAGAGGAAGGTGGGGAAAAAGCACCTTTTAGGAGGTGATGAGGAAAATCCTTGGATTGGGTTGGGAGAGACCACCACTTGGTCGCGAGAGGGAAGACCACGGAGACTGGAAGAGACCACTGCAGCCAAGACGTGGGGGCAGCAAGAGACCACCTTAGGGGATATGGGTGTTGCAGGGTGGGGTTGGGGGTGGCCTCCCAGGGTTTGTTGGATGGGATTTGGAAGGTGCAGGAGGAGGGCGAAGATGGAGAAGGCTGGGAGAGACCATTTCGCACAAGCCTAGACAGGACCTAGACAGGAAGATGGCAGTGGGGCGGGGCGGGGCAGAAGGGACCCGGTCAGGCAGGCACCTGGGCTTGGCAATGGGGAGCTGCAAGAGGCCATCAGGCAGACTGGGGGCTATGGTAATGGGGCGGGTGGCGGGGGCGCCACTTTATAAACTACTCCAGACCATACCCCAGGCAAATAAAGGGGCATGGCTTTGGGGCGCTGGAAGAGACCACCCTAGGCAGTCGCAGGGGTGTGAGAAGTGCAGGGTTGGGAGACCCCCCCTCTCACGGAGGCAGGGTCCGCGCTGGAGTGGGGTCAGCAGGCGCAGCGGGGGCCCTCCCTTCCTTGCCCCCCATCCTTCAGAGGGCCATCACGCTCTGAACACCTACAAGGCCTGCATGAAGTACAGCGACTGCTACACGGGATTCGTGTCCACCACGATGGGCCCCAAGGACTACATGGTGTCCAACACCCGCTGCTGCCAGAGTGACGGCTGTAACCATGGCTCCGTGCCCCGTGAGTGCCAGCTCAGCCCCGCATCGGGACTCGCTTCTTCCAGCCGCCCCTAGAGAGCCCACTCTGTGTGCCCCCGCCTGCCTCTGCCCCGCGCTCAGACGCTGGGCAACTTGCTTGCCGTGCCCCTCAGTTTGCTTACCTGGAAAGGCAGTGTCCATTCGCAGCCCATGTCCCTCCCCCCGACCCCCCCCCCCCCGGTTTGTTGTGAGGTGAGGGAAGGCTTTCATCTCTGCACCTTACACTGCACCTTCATCCCCAGCTCCCCAGAACAATCGCACTGAGAACGGTCTCCAGTGCCCAGCCTGCATCGCGCCCTTTCAGGAGACATGCCCTGGGACCCAGGCAGCCCGCTGTGTTGGCCAGGAAACCCACTGCGTCTACTTCGCTGGCAACGTGCAGGCTGGTGAGGGGAACCTGGATCTCTAGAGGAGGGGACAGGGCCCCAGAACTGGAAGCCCATACTGCCAGGTTCTAGGGGAGATGGTGGCTCCGGGGAACTGGGTGAGGACATGCAGAGTGGGGCAGTGGAGGGGTGGGGGGGAGGGAGACCCCTGGGTGGTGAGGAAGGCGGGGGTAGGGGCCGACTCCATTCTGAAATCCCCTTCTCAGGTCTCATCAGCCCCAAATTTGCCACTCGGGGCTGTGCTACAGAGAGTGCCTGCTACGCCAAGGCTGGGGCCCAGGTGCCTTCAGCCTCCTATCTCTACTTCCTCCACCGAGCAGACTGCCTTCCAGCCTCCCAGCCCCCTAGCAGGGCAGAGTGAAGAACTGAGGAATATGTGGCTTGAGCCACATATTTGTCCTCAGCCTACACCTCCCCATGTGCCTGAGTTCTTGTGATATGATGCATCTCAGGAAGGTAGGGTGCAGAAAGCAGGGGTCCTAACCCTTGGGAACTTCCTCTTTGCAAGGAAGGGAGAGAAGACCCTACTGTTTATTAAAGGAGTGCTCCCTGCTGGGCTGCTGTGCAGTGTTCTCCATGCTGTACCTCATTTCAGAATCCCAACAACTCTGTGAAGTGGATATTATTATCCCAATTTTACAGATGAACAAACTGAGGCCACAGGTTGTGGTCACTTCCCTTGGGTCAAACCACTAGGGAGGGGCAGACCCCGCGTCCATGATCACTTCTCCTGACTAACCTCTCCCTCTTTTTGCCTGTTTTCACGTCTGCAAAATGTGGATGGTAATAGTTATAACCTCGTTGGGTTGTTATGTCAAATGAAAGAAAACTGCAAAAGCATTTGGTGCGGTGCCTAGCACCTGTAAGACAATGTTGGTTCTAGAGACTATATGTCTGTAAATGGTAATCATCATAATAGCTGCTACTCAATGAGTGGCCATTACTTGGAAGGCGCTAAACACTCTCCTCAATCAGATTATGCTACAGTAACAAGCAAGTCCCTAATCTCAGTGGTTTAAAGCAACAACGTTGTATTAGTCGACTAATGTTGCAGCCATGCTGTGTAACAAACCATCCCCAAACTGAACCATTACAACAAGCATTCTTCTTTCTGAGGGTTTGTGGGTGGCTGGCTCTGCATTAGCTGGTTTGGCTCCAGTTTGGGAGGAGGATTCAAGTTCTGGGATCAGTGGCTAATAATGTTCTTACAGCAGATCAGAAGAGCACAAGAGCCCAAGTGCATTAAAAGCCCCTACTGAGGTCCAGTGTGCTAACATTCCATTGAGTCAAGTAAATCATATGGTCAAAGCCAACATCAACTGAGCAAGGAAGGGTGCTCCGTTTCCAGTGGGAGGGAGGAGAGCAGTATTTGCTGAACAAGTCCCCATTCACAAATAGTCGAGTCTTCCCTCACCCTACGTGTCCAGCACCGTTCACAGAGTGTTCTGCTCATCACAATCGTGGAGCAGCCACCAACTCGAACATTGCTGTGTACAGGAAAAAGCACAGGGATGTCTCATGTGGGTGATTAAATGCCGTGACCCAGAAGTGACTTGACATAACTCATGGGATGGAGCTAGTCACATGGCCCACCAAACCCAATGGGGTTGGGGGGTGGGGCGGCTAGGAAGTGCAGTCCTGCTTGGTGACATTGACCACGGACGTGTTTTGTAAACAGCAAGAATGGCTGCCAGGGCCTCTAGCAGAGAGTTCTCATTTTATCTTCACGACAACTCCCTGTGATAGGCACTGTTATTCTCAGCCCTGTTTTCAGAAGAACCTGAGGCTCAGAGGAGGGATGTTACATTGGAGTTCACACAACTACAAAGCGGCAGAGCTTAAGATTTTAATCATTGCGTCACATCGAGGGGGGAAAAGGACCACAGCACACAGAGAGGGAACAAGCCTATATCCATTATCTTTGGCTGTATCTTTCTGTAACCACCCCAAAACTTAGTCGCTTAGAACACTCAATCCCCTTTTATTTAGCTCATGATTCCGCCAGGCCACACTTTGGCCTGGGATCAGCCGGGTGGCTCTTTTGCTGGGTTCAGCTTGTCAGCTAGGCAGCTCTGCTTCAGAAGGTTGGCTGGCTGTCGCTTGGGGTGTCAAGACTGACTGGGCCACATGCCTCTACTCACCCAGCAGGTTAGCCTGGACTTCTTGGCGTGGCAGGGGTTCCAAGGGCAGCGAGAGAGGAAGCCCTGATATGTGAGCACTTTTCAAGCGTCTACTTGTATGGTGTTTGCTGTTTGTTGTTCCTGTGGCCAGGCAAATCACACGGCCAGCTCTAGAGTCAGAAGGGACTCTCCAAGAACAGAGAGAGGCATTAATGGACCAAGCTGCTTCCAGAGCTGGGATGCTTTACTGTCACAAGCCCCTAAGGTCTAAATGTCACTTTTCCACCTGCATCTACCTTCCCCCACCCCATCCCGGGAGTCTCTGGATTCCAGCTCAAGGGGTTCTTTCCCAAACAGACCCTCACCATCCAGCACTCCTCTCCCAGGACCCAGGAGTCCCCACCGTTGGTCTCTTCCTCCTTCAGACCCAGTACTATCTCCAGCCCTTTCCGTCCCCAGACCGAAGCAAAATCCCAAGCATCTTTCCCTTCAAATCCCCAAAGAAGAGACACAGAGTGGGATTTCTACACATTTTTATTCACTCCTTCAAAAAGCACCACAGGCCAATCACACCTTTGATTAGCCTTCCCAGGTTCCCCACCCTAGTGGATACAAGTCTCTTCATCATTATCCAGAAATGTATGAAATTCGGCTAAGGTGATGAGATCATCTCTGGCAATGGCAGGGCCAAGACTTAGCATCCATTTCCTTGAATTCTTGCCTTCAAGGGTCTTCCAGCCTGGAAGTATGATGTCGACACACCCCGAGGGCAGCCAGCAATCAGTTCTCAAGGGAGTCTTAAGTCTTTCTGCTTGGATGCTCCCAGAGACAGATGCCTCGCTAGCAACATGATGCCTCCCATCAAAAGTCATAATTTAAAAGACAACCCCCCCAATTAGTCACGACACCCAAGAGTGTCGATACACAACGACAGAAACACAATCAGCACTCTCCAACAAAGACACAGGCAAACAAAATCAGGTTTTGCTTTCTCAGATATGATCTCTGGCACCACCCTCGTTGGCATGAGGGCAGAGGGAATTTGGAGCAGGGCAGCATGGGGCAGAGGTGTCAGGCAAGACCAAATCAGAGATGGCGTGAAAAGTGGCAGAGAAAGAGGAGGGCACTGTGAGCAAAGGCATGGGCGTGAGACAGAGGTGCCCAGACTAGAGCTGTCTGGGTGCTGCCTGGGGCCCAGGGCATAGGCAACAAGACTTATGGTTGAGCTCCCCAGGAGCCAAGCTTCTCCCAAGGGCTGCAGTGTGAGCGGACGGGTGTGTGTGTGTGTGAAGATGCATGTACATACGTACATACATATTCTTACAATTACCCTGTGAGGTAGATGCCATTTGCTGAGTGGCTTGCCCAAGGTTACCCCAATGTCTGGAGAACTGTCTGACCCTAGAGCTGTGCCAACAGGATTTCCCGTGATAATGGAAGTGTCCTAGGTCTGCGCTGTCCAACGCTCTAGCCACACATCACAGGTGGCTACTGAGCCCTTGAAACGTGGTTAGTGTTAACTGGGAAGTGGAGTTTTAAACTTTATTTACTTTTAATTGAAAATGGATAGATACACACCTCAGTTATTGGGAAACTGGTCAATATAATCGGGACAACTTGGGTAGAGGAATCGATTTCTCCACCGAATTTTTCGGAAAGTTAAATAGAGGTACTTCTGATGAAAATTTATCATCTGAAGGTGATGTACGCTAAGTATAAAATATCTCATGCTTTTCTTGATTGACTACACGTTGAAATAATATTTCGGATTTACTGGGTTACGTAAAACATAACTAGCTTCGCCCTGTTTCCTTTTACCTTTTTTAATGTGGCTGCTGGGACATTTCAAGTTACAGATGCGGCTCACATTCCGTTTGATGGACAGCACTGCTGGGCGCCTCTCCCACTTCCCCACGGGGGGTACGCCAGACTGAGAGGCAGATCGTGTTGTACTGGATATTACAGATATGGGCAAACACCTTTCCCTGAAGCCCAAAAGGCCTTTGAGGACACTGCCTGAAGCCGTTTTGTATGGAGCCAAATGCTTTTCCCCACCTCAGCCACCTCAATTCAAAGGGGACACATTGTGCCAGTGGTAGGGGTTCAAGATGGACATGGGGGTACCATCTGGCAGGTATATGCCCCTCAGATGGGTCATCCTTGTCTCCTGCTGTCAAAGAAAATAGGATCTTGGAAGTGTTTAGGGTTCTCGTCCAGCCCTTTCCTTTCGCAGATGGGAAAATAAGGCACTGGTCCAAGTCACCCAGAGTGCCAGTGGCAAGGCCTTGCTTGCTTCCCAGATCCCCTGACGTCTGACAGGAGCTTCTCTCCCACCAGATGCTTGTTTCTCCCTGCCTCGCTCATTTCCCCTGTCTTGTGGCAAGAGGCCGACAATCTAAGTTCCAGTCTGCCACGGAATAATGAATTCAGTATTTACTAAGCACCTACTGTGTTGTCAGGCACTCTTCTAGGTGCTGGGGGTACAGCAGAGAACAAGACAGGTAAGAGTATCATAGCTATTAAATAGGTAAATAAATAAGGTAACTGCTTACAGTAATAACTGCTACAAGAGAAACACTGACAGGCTGAGATGAATAATGGGGATGTGTGAGCTACTTCAGTTACACTGGTCAGGGAAGGCCTCTCTGAGGGGACATGTGAGCTGAGACCTGCTTGACAAGGAGGAACCAGCCATGGGAAGATCTGGGGGCAGAGCATTCTACGCAGAAAGAACAGCAAATGCAAAGGTCCTGGGGCAGGATCCAAGGTGGCCCACCCAGGCATCAGAAGGAAGATCAGGGGCGCCTGGGTGGCTCAGTTGGTTAAGTGGCTGCCTTCAGCTCAGGTCATGATCCCAGGGTCCTGGGATCGAGTCCCGCATCGGGCTCCCTGCTCTGCAGGGAGCCTGCTTCTCCCTCTCCCACTCCCCCTGCTTGTGTTCCCTCTCTCGCTGTGTCTCTCTCTGTCAAATAAATAAAAATAAAAAATCTTTAAAAAAAAAAAAAAAAGAAGGAAGATCAGGCTGGTTGGGGGATGGGGTGGGGGCAGGGAATGCGAAGAGGCAGGGGCCAGACCACATAGGACCTTGCTGTGTGCTGTTGGGCCTAGAGCCTGCCCTCCCTGGGCTTTGCTCTCCCCAGCTCTCATAAAAGAGATTCATTCTACTTAATGGCCTTTCGGGTCCCCCCTTTCTGTTTGTTGACACTGAAGAATTCTGTGACCTGTGGCGTCTTTTCTACCTATAGTTGGCAGCCTAGAACATTCCAGGCACTGTGGTTTCTGGCTTTGCTTCACTCATGGCACACTCCCACGGTCTGGAACGCTCCCTAGCTGTTCTGTGGGTCTCTTGCCCTCTGCAGCACTGTGTGTACACCAGAAGGCAGAGCCTCTTGGTGACACCTGAGGTAGCCAACACAGAAATGTCTGGATCACTGCAGCACGACAGCTGCTTTTCCAAAAAAGGCAGGAGTTTAAAATACCAAGGCCAGAAAGGGTTAGGCTTAATGACAGAACAAATCAAGACCAAAAAGAGATAGAAACCACTAAGGGAGAGAGGGACAAAGGAAAAGACTCACCAAAGATCCCCTGAATCACTCAGCACCTATGAAATGGGGCAGTCATATCCCTTCCCAAACTCACACAGAGCGACAACTGCCAGGGTCCAAATCCATAAGGGATTTGTGGGAGGTACCTCTGAGGTATGGGTTCCTGCCCTTCCACACCTAGAAGGCCTCATTCCTGGTCTCTGGCTACCACCAGGGCCCACCATGCCCAGACCTCTTGCCTCCTCCCCTCATTTTTGTGGGACCATCCTCCCCACAACAGCTGGGGAAGGAATCTGGGTCATTAGTCCCCTGGAACAGCAAATATTAGATATCTCTCTATTCCTCAAGGGGGACCAAAGGATCTCCAGCTCTTTTGCACAGCCCCCTGTTCCCTCCTGTAGATGGAGACCTCCCACCACCCAGGAATTAGAAACCAAGGTCCACTGAAGATTCAAAGCCACCGCCTCTTGAGGAACTGGGAGGCTGGATGCAGACCCATTCCCTCTGGGAAGCCTGGATCCTATACCCCCGTGTGGCTCAGCAGTTCCAAGGATTCCGGCTCCCTGGGGTACCCAGACTCCTTCCTCCATACTGGAATCTCCAGGATGATGGAAGACCCTCTTCATCAGGAACCAGGGCTTTCACCTCTTCTCCCCCTTCCCAGGGCCAGAGGACCAACAGATCCAGTTTCTACTCCCCTGGAGACCAGGACAGAACCCCTTCTAGGAGTCCAACCCCTCAACTTCCTTCAGGACACAGTCTGGCGTCATGCCCTGTGGTCCCCAGGGAAATCAGTTCTCTCCCCCAGACTCCATTCCCCTTCAGGACCTAGGGATCCAGGGGACTACAAGTCACACATCCCAGTCAGTAGTCCTAGAGCCCTCATCCCCTTCAAGCACCCAGGATTCCGGGTGGTGGCCCCCAGCTCTGTTACCTCAGAGGCCCAGACATCCAACTCCACCCCCCCACCCCACGCGGGACTTGGGAGTCCTCAGCCCCTGGCGGAGCCAAGCAGCACGGACGCTGAGCACCCCGGAAGCCCCGGCCCTCATCCCTCCCCTCACTGCGCGGGCCCATGGGGTGCCAGCACCGCCTCGGCGTCGGCCTGCATCTCGTCGAGGGCCTGCAGCAGGACGCCGTGCGCCGCGCGGTAACCCAGGCCGCCGGTGGCCGCCGCCCCGCCCGCCGGCCACAGGAAGGAAAGGGCGCCCAGCGCCGCGCCCCCCGCAGTGCCCTCGCCCGCCCACGCGCCCAGCCTCGCCTCCACCTCGGCGCGCGTCACCGGGCCCGGGAAGCGCGTCCGCTCTGCCAGCTCCCCGGGAGCCAAGCCTAGCGCGCGCTCGCGTCGAGCCAGCGCCGCGGGTTCGAGCCCCAGCGCCCGTCGCCACTCCGCCAGCTGGCCCCGCAGCAGCGCCACGTCGCACGCCCAGCCCAGCCCCGGGACTGGGGCCGCCGCCGCCGCCAGGCTAGCCAGCAGAGCGGGCCGCCACGCCCCGGCCCGCAGCGCCGCAGCCTTCATCCGGGCCCCGTGGGGAGACGCGGGTGGCAGCGCCAGCAGCAGCGCCCCCGCCTGGGCCGGGGGGAGCGCGCGCCGCAGCCACTCGCAGAGCCCGGGGAGGCCGCCAGGCCGCAGGGGGAACACGGGCGGCGGTGCCTCCTCCAGCACCTCCCACGTCTCATCCTCCGGGCTCGGTGCGGCCGCACGCTCTGAGTCCCCACTGCCCGATTTCTTCGCGCCGCCGCCAACACGCGGCAAACTCTCACTGCCTGCTTTCTCTGCCCCTTCCCCGCTGCCTGCTTTCCCGGACTCTTCCCCGCTACCTTTCGGCAATCCAGTGCCACGGCTCTCCCTTCCCTCACTGCGTGCATTCTTCAACCCCTCTCCGCCTGCGTTCTCTAAGCTCTCGGAGCTGGGCTTCTCTGCCTTCTCCTCTTCCTCCGGGTACTCTGGATCCTCGCCCTCACCGTCTGTTCGCACGCAGACCAGCGGCGCATCTGGCAGCACGAAGGGCCGCACCTCAGCCCAGTCCTTCTCAGTAGGGGCCCCCGGGGTGACGAGGATGAGGGCGTCGTAGTGGGTCGGATGGGGGGTGGCGGCAGTGCCCGCGGAGCCCAGAGGCACCTTCCAGAGCACCACGTTGGGACGCTCTGGCGCCGGGCAGGGCGTGGGCCCCGGGGGCGTGAAAACAGGCTCGTCATCTGGGTCAGGGGGATCCAACCCAAGTAGCATGTTCAGCACAAGGCTCACATCAGCCTTGCCGGTCACGGCCAGGTCCAGCCGCGCGCTGCCCAGGCGCTCCAGGCCAGCGCGAACCCACGACAGCGCCGCCTCCAAGCCACCGGTCTCAAAGGCCTCACGCACAGCCTCCAGCTCTGCCGCACCCAGTACCTCGAAGCCATCCTGAGCCGGTGGAAGGAGCCTGAAGGAACAGGAAGAGGGAGGGTTTACACGCTAGAGGGCTGTGCTACGGGGACAGGACTAGGCTAGGATGATAAGGGTGGAATTTTCCGAATGATCCCTGAAAGAAGATGGAGGGGTCAGACTAATGGTACAGCATATAGAAACCAGGGCTTAAAACAGGGATGGGGCAGGTTCGTTGAGGCCAGGTTTCCAACAAAGCCTAAAAGGGGGAAGCTGCTAAATCTCTGGGATTCAGTCTTGGGGCGGGGCGGGGGCGGGGGGCGCTTTTCCAAGGGACCTGCAGGGTTAAGAAAGGCCAAGCAAAACTTAGGGAAGGTCGGGCTCAGGCAAAGACAGGCTTGCAACTGAATTGTGGACTAAAGAAAAGTCAAGCACCTTCCGACCAGAGCAAGGTCACCCAGGGTGCTCTTTGCTGAGACTAGGCATAAGGAAGGGAATAAGGACCAAAGAGGGGAAAAGCCTCACCTACCAGTGCTTACCAAGGAAGGAAATGTGGATAAGGAAAAAAGATGCACACTGAGCCTCATTTGACTTCTATGAAATAGGCGGCCAGGGGTTGGGGGGAAAAATTCAGGAAGTATCCAGCAAATGGGCATAGAAACGAGACGGGATTAGAGAAAGGAGGTGGGGGAGCGATCCCAGAAATAATAAGGCTCACTGAGGGTGTGGCTTTACAAGGACTGGTGTAGCTGGAGAACAAAGCTGATGATGGGGAGGGTGAGGAGGGCTCAAAAAGTGTGAATCCTAGGGTAAAATCTTCGCGGGCATCACAAGCTTGTATGCTGAATGGGCCCTCCTTCAAACTTTTGAGGGGGAGGGGGGTAGTATCCGGGCTTTAGGTCCTGGCCTCTCCTAAAATTCTCACTGGGGCAGGGCTTGTGACCTCAGAACACTGGCAGGAGAATGAACCTGGAGGACAGGTCGGAACCTATAGCCCGTGGGGCGAGGCCTAGAAATGGGGAAAGGGTCCAGCACTGAGCTTGGGCTTGGGGTGGAGCCTCGCTGACCTCAAAACCTGCGCTGAGGGGTGGGATCTGGACGAGAGAGCAGGGCCCCCAGCAGCTATCCTGTTTTTAACGCCTGCCCCAAGCTCGCTGGGGGGAGGGGTCTCGCGGATCTCAAAGAACATTTTCTAAAAGACCAGGCCTCCAACCCACCCCAACTCCTCGCTCACCTTTGCAGCACCTCCGCCTGGCTCCGCAGCGCCACCCGCAGACGCTCCAATTCCTTGCAGCCATCTCTGCTGCCGCAGTCGGCCGGCAGCACGAAGAGAGCCGCGGCCCCCAATCCTGCGCTGTTCAGCAGGGCCTCTGTCTGATCCCGGGCCTGGGCTTCATTTTCCGAATCTCCAGGACGGAGCTTCCGCACAGCCAGCAACGGGGTCCCTCGGGCCAAGGCGGCCCGCGCTGCCTCTCCCAGCGCTGCGGCTAAGGGCTCCCCGTTCCCTTCGGGGCCGGGCAGCACCAATACCAGCACATTGGCCTCCGCCGCCCAGGGCCCTGGCGCTGCGGGTGGACAGCTCAGCTCGCCCAGGAAAAGGCCAGGGCCGGCAGCTCGCAGGCTGGGGATCCCGGAGTCCGGCCGTCCCTCGGGAATCTCTATCGTCTCCACATTCCCATCGCACAGCGCTGCAATAAGCGCGGACTTGCCACAGCCCGGAGGCCCCAGGAACAAGGCGGTCACGTCACCCCGTGGCAGTGGCATACCTGGAAAGCAAGGGGGTGGGGCAGACCCGGGTCAGGGAGCACTCAGCCTTTTTTATTCTTTGTCATCCCACTGGGGTCTCAGACTTCAGTCCTTCACCCCGTCCCCTTCCCTTCTTGGATGTCACTCCCAGGGAAAAATCCGGCACCCACGCCCTACCTTTTCCCCAGGGATAAGGGCGTCTTGCCGGCCCTCTTTCTGGATACATTTTTCTCTGTTTCAAATTCTCAGAAATCGGGCCTCCAAGCTCTCTCCTCCCTCAGGGACATAGATGTTTCTATCCCCCACACCTCCCTTCCAAATCACTAACCGAGCAAACCGCCGGCACAACCTGAGAGCTCAGTCGGCGGCGACTTATCAGCCGCCGAGAAGCCCCGCCCCTGGGGTCGGGCGGATGGAGGCCGAAGAGGTTAGAGGGCCGGGATTTGGGGACGCCCGGACACGTTCCGGGGGCTCTAACCTGGCGTCACTCTTTTAAGGAGAGGGTGTGTCTTGGAAGCGTGACCTCGGGGCTACAGCCCTTCACGGCGCCTGCGCAAAGCGAAGTACGCCCGCTCTCCATTGAAGTCCTGCTGCCGCAAGGCTCGAACAATGAAGGCGTCAAAGCGCCTGCGCGCCAGGAGCGCCTGGCCACAGTTGCGCAAGAAGCTGAGGTCTGTACGGCACGGGGGGCTGCAACGTCATCATAACGCACCCCAGGGCAGAAAAGGACCCCTCCCGTTACTCTGAGGACCCGGTTGGCGCGACTGCATCACTGCCGGATAGCATGCCGGGCCTGGGCTTCGAGAGGCTCATCAGGCGAAAGGGCGTGGAAGCCACTGGGACCTTAAGACTCGGTGGGCCCTACCCCGCTTCCCTCCGGGTGGCGGCGCTGTGACGAGCGACTGACAGGCGCAACGAAAGGCAGCCCTCTGCCGTCTGGAGAAAAACGGGAGGCCTGGGCTACCCCGCCTCGGGAGGAGGGAACCGAGGGCAGTGCTTGGGGCGAAGGCTGAAGGCGCGCGTGGGAGGCGGGGGCCCTGGGTGGAACGAGGGTTACAGGATGTCCGAGAAAGATGCCTCCCGGGAAGAGGCGGGCTAAAGCCTGGATGCCATCACCGGCCTCAAGACACGTGGGAGACGGGGATGAGGCTGGTGTCAAAGCTCAAGGGTTCCATGCCCGGAGTTCAGGGAGTTAGTTTGATGTAGGAGGCCATAGGTCTCATACAGGTGAGAAGGCTCGAAGGGGTGTCACAAACCTAGGGAGTCGAATCTTTTGGGAGGGTCGAAGCTTCCCTAGGGAACAGCTCCATCAGGTTAGAGTTCAAGAGGATGGCATCTTATGGGGGCAAGGAGAGCCTGTCAGAAGTCACGGGATTAGCGGGCCCTTTCATGCTGTCGATAGATGAGCGACTTCACTCGATTTACTATTCTGTCATGCGTGCTACTCTCTTGACCAGAGGGATCCCAGTCACCATGGAGGACCCGCATCCTGAAGAGACCATGGAGCAGCAGGATTCGTCCAAGGAGAGGAGTCCCCGCAGTCCAGGAGACGACATCTGTGAGTGCTGCTGGCCAGAGGAGGGTGGGGTGCTGGAGCTGATGCTACCTAAAGGGATTTCTATAGCTTTTAAGTGTCCCAGGCGTTACAAGCACTTGCCTGCTGGGAAGGGGCTGTAATAAATGGCTTCTAAGCTGCCCTACCAGGAACTGCCACTCTCCACCCTTACCCTCATTCTGCTCAGATGTACCCACCCTGCTCTGTCCATGTAAGTTCGAGTGGGCCACAGTTCAGAGGGACAAAGTGGCATCCAGAGAGGCTTGGGGTGGGAGATGTGGCTGGGAAAAGTGGGGCACTGGCAGAGGAGCCCCAAGTTCCAGTTCCAACTCTGCCCCAGACTTTCAGTGTGACTCGGGCTTGGGTTTCCCTGTCAAAAGAAGTTGCCACTCCTCAGGTGACACGGCTGTAATGGGGATTAGGGGCAAAGAAGGGGAAGGTCTGTTTGACAGCATGATAGCAACAGCTTCTACTGAAGGCTCATGATGCTTATGGGCACTTTGTAAGCATTTAACCTTCGTTATCTCAGTCCTCCTGACGGACCCTAGGAGATTCCCTCAGATAGGGGAACGGAGGCAAGGAGAGGTTATCTGTGACAATGACAGCCCGTGTCAAGGCCCTCCAGCCAAAGACCACCAGGAGCACACCCTACACTTGAACGAGTTGGGTTTATTGCTCTTTGCACTGAGGAAGCACACACGCCCTGGGGCGCTGTGGGGCATCTCAGTGTTAGAAAGGATTTATTTTAGGTGGTTTTGGGAAGGGTTCAAGAAAGGGTTTTGTGCCAGAATTAGATGCTGCCGGTAAGCAGGGGCAAAAGATAGGGTGGTCAGATCTTATCTGGGAAGGAGGCATGAAGGCTCAAGCTGCGACTGATAAAGCGGCAGCAGCCCCTCCTGGGAGCCAGGATAGCGGGGTGTTTGGTCTTTCTTGTGGCTTTGACAACGTTCGTGTTTTGTCTGTGTTCAGACGTTATTCTGGCATGGTCTTGACTTGATTGAATCATCTCAGTCACAGCATGGCCTTGTCTGACGAGGTTCTGTGAAACTGCTTATGTTCAACAGGAGAACACCAAGGCCTAGCTGTGAGCGCCAGGCCGGCCCCCGGCTGTCAAGCTGCTTTTCTCTTTCTCAATACTAATAATTGCAAACCACTGTGTAGCACTCTTCTAAGCACTTTATATGAATTAATTCATTTACTCCTTCCAACAACCCAATGAGGTAGTAATAACCGTACTGATCAGTTATAACCATACTGATATGGTTAGGACCCCATTTTCCAGATGAGGAAACTTGTAGTTGCCTAGGAAGTGGTAGATCTGGGATTCAGTGCCAGGCAGTCTGGCTCCAGAGGCTGTGCTCTAATCACAGGGCTCTGTTGGAAGGGCAGATTCCCTGGGTTCCAGTCCTGACTCCACCATTTCATTTCCTGGCCTCGTGACTGTAGGCAAGTTGCCCGGCCTTTCTGAGCCTCAGCCTGCTCATCCATAAAACAGGTCCTGTAATAGTTTGCCTGTGCCACTGTCCAGCCCTGGCATACAGCCTGGCACATGGTAAGCCCTGAATGTGAATTGTTGGCATGACTCTGGGGCTCGGGAGAGGTCCTGGTGACTCTTGCTGGCTTCCCCTCGACCTCTCCCCACGTCCCTCAGGCCACCTGGGGGCCCCGCAGTGCACCCGCTGCCTCATCACCTTCGCCGATTCCAAGTTCCAGGAGCGTCACATGAAGCGGGAGCACCCAGCGGATTTCGTGGCCCAGAAGCTGCAGGGGGCCCTCTTCATCTGCTTCACCTGCGCCCGGTCCTTCCCCTCCTCCAAGGCCCTGATCGCCCATCAGCGCAGCCACGGTCCAGCCGCCAGGCCCTCCACGCCAGTGGCGCCCACCGCTGCCCAGCCTACATTCCCCTGTCCTGACTGTGGCAAGACCTTTGGGCAGGCTGCTTCTCTGAGGCGGCACCGCCAGGCGCATGAGACCCGCACCCCTCCTGGCCCCTTTGCCTGCACTGAGTGTGGTCAGGACTTTGCCCAGGAAGCGGGGCTGCATCAACACTACATCCGGCATGCCCGGGGGGAGCTCTGAGTGAGGGCTAAGCCCTCCCTAGGGCAGTGGGTGTGGGGGAGGGTTCTTTGGCTGCTAGAACCCACCTCTGATATGGGACGGGGGCCTTGGAAGGATTTGCTTCCCTCCCTGGACAAGCAAAGGACTCCTGATAAGTAGGACCCAGAAGATGCTCATCTACAGCTTCAGTCTTTGGAGGACACAAAGGCCTTCAGGGATATAGTGAAATTAGTGAAATCTTTTGTTTAAAAAAAAAAATGAGCAAGCAAAAGGGAAAACTGTTATTTGTATCTCTCTCATTCCCAATTAAATAGTTTGAAATCGGGTGCCTGGGTGGCTCAGTTGGTTAAGTGACTGCCTTCGGCTCAGGTCATGATCCTGGAGTCCCGGGATCGAGTCCCACATCGGGCTTCCTGCTCAGCGGGGAGTCTGCTTCTCCCTCTGACCCTCCTCCCTCTCATGCTCTCTGTCTCTCATTCTCTCTGTCTCAAATAAATAAATAAAATCTTAAAAAAAAAAAAAATAGTTTGAAATCACAACTAGCTGCAGATTGTGTAATCACCTTTAATTCTTCCCAAATGGGTGGCATGAGCTGTAGGAGCAAATTCCCCTGGATGTGTGCCTGAAAGGGGGCGGGGAAGGTGAGGTGTTGCGGGGCCTGTAATGGCACTGGAAGGGTCCCAGATGTGGAGTGACTTGGGCCTTTAGGGACAGGATAGCAAAGTTGGGGGCTGTACTCTGAGTCACGTGGGGGTTGCAATTCAAGTCCTTGTCTTCTCCCACCCGTCAGTCTTTCCCACTCATGGAGGGGCCATGGTATTGGATGGATTTGGGCTCCCCCCCAATAATGTATTGCCCGCTTAAATAATTTTATGTACTATTCTGGTCATGGAATATTTTCTATATGTATAGGTGAGATGACATGAATAAAATAATAGCATCTAAAAACAGAGAAGACTTATATTAAAATGTCTAAACAAGGAACTCTGGCTCTTGAGCAGGAATTCCCAGAAAATATAAGAAGGGCACAGGGTGGGGACACCTGGGTGGCTCAGGTCGTTAAGCGTCCAACTCTTAATTCCAGCTTAGGTCATGATCTCAGGGTCGTGAGAGCCAGCCCGGTTTCGGGCTCTGCGCTGAGCATGGAGGCTGCTTAAGATTCTCAATCTCCCTCTCCCTCTGCCCCACACCCCTCTGCGCATCCCTCTCTCTCACTTTCAAAATAAATAAAATAAAAAGAAGGGCACAGGGAGGGGGAAGCTCAGGTCAGAGCTGGCCTGGCCCTGCAGGGAATCTGGTTTGAAATCAAACAGAGATACCTTCTGTTTCCTGTTGTATTTGGCCAACATTGGGAGAGCTCCCATTAAGATCCTATTTTCAGCTCTTGAAAAGCCTAACCCTGGGCGGAGTCCCACCGGGCCTCGTGCTGAGTGTGGTCAGGACTTTGGATTACCTGTCCTGCCCCCCTTAGAGACAATGGTTGATGCCCTGCATACAATAATCACAGACTCTATCTGAACCGAGGGATGTTTTTAGAGCCCATAGCTGAGATAGATATGGTAGAGACTGATAGATGTCTCCCAATTTTTAGCTAGGTACATGGTAGCTACAAACACTCCCATTTCCCAGGGTCCCTTGCAGCTACGTGTGGCCCTGTGACCCGAGTTCTGGCTAAATTCTGGGTAGAGTTCTCAGGCTTCAGAGAGGGACATGCCTTTTCCTCTACTGCCTGCCTAGAGTGTGGACATGGTATCCAGCCATCTTGGACCATGAGAGCAAGATATGGCCTGGCAGAGCAGCAAGACAGCAGAAGGACGGATCCCTTGACCATGGGTCCCTGGGACCATGATCACTTCATGGAGCAGAGTCATCATACCAGCCCTAGAATTTCCACTTCCATACTATCATGTAAGAGAGAAATAAGCCTCTATCTTGTTTAAATCACCCTTATTTTGAGTCTCTGTCACATGCAGCCTCATTTAAAGCCTGTCTGCAGCGCAGAACTGCAGATCTGAGTAGTCGCAACGGAGACCGTATGGCCCACCAAGCCTAAAATAAGAAAGGGCCATCTGGCCCTTTACAGTAAAAGTTTGCCGACCTCTTGTCTAACCGACAGACAAACAACCTACTCTGAGCCTCGCAGCCGGGATTCCCACCCTGGGAAATACTACCTCTAGTAGGGGGCTGTGCGTGCATGTGTTTGTTTGTGTAGGATTTGGGCGGGGCTAGCTAGCCTGGATCTCTTTGCTTGGATGACTTATGGGGAAATTGGTTTGGAGTTAGTTGGCCATCACTTATTCCTAAAATACCGACTTCACCAAAGTCAAATATTTCCTCTGCACCTGGTGACAGCTCAGAAGTTTCCAACCCAGATGTTTTACACCTCCCCCACAGCGGTTCCCTCCAACCCAAACCTAAGGCTCAAATCACACATGCTCCCCTGAGATAGATAGCAGCCTGCCTGTGTTCTTCCTGTTCTCTCCACTCTCCAGATGTCATAGATTCCCAAGACTTTAAATAGCATCACTGGTGACTTCCCAATCTTTATCTTCAGCTCAAACCCCAGACTTCTACCCATGAGAAAGTCACCTGGATGACGAATAGGCGTCTCAAAAACATAAAAAGGGTCGACGTGACTCCTACAGCCCCCACCTACACCACTACTATGAGATTGGTCAACTGTCTACTCTACTTCTAAATTCCCAAGTCTTGGGGCGCCTGGGTGGCTCAGTCGTTAAGCGTCTGCCTTCAGCTCAGGTCGTGATCCCGGGGTCCTGGGATTGAGCCCCGCATGGTGTTCCCTGCTCAGCGGAAGCCTGCTTCTCCCTCTCCCACTCCCCCTGCTTGTGTTCCCTCTCTCGTTATGTCTCTGCCAAAAAAAATAAAAAAAATCTTTAAATTCCCAAGTCTGACCGGCCCTCCCCACAGCTGCTCTCCTAACTGCTCCCCCCACCATACCCCCGGACCTGCCACCACTGCTGGTCCACTACAGTCCACTACAGACCACCCCGTCCACTACAGACCACTACAGACCACCCCGTGTACGTAAGTTGGCACACATCACTCATTTAAAATCCTCAAATGGCATCCCATAGATAACATCCCAAGACCTTACCCAGGCCCAGAAAACCCAACAGTGATGGGAGCCCCTGCCTGCTAAGCAATCTTAACTCCCTCCCAGCTTTATCTTCATTATACTCCAGTCACACATGCCAGGCTGGCTTCTGCCTCAGGGCCTTTGCACTTGCTGTTCCCTCTGCCTCGAGTGCTCTTACCCAGAATTTTGCAACACTCTCTACGTTATTTAGGACTCAACAGATGCTACCTCCTCAGAGAGGTCCTCCTTGACATGCTTGGCTAAAGTGGCACCTGCAACCCTTACCCTGACTTAATTTCTTCTTAGCACTCTTCAATACCTGGGATTATCATGCTTTAGTTTGTCATTATCCGTGTCCTTACCCTGGAATCCACACTCTCGAGGGCAAGTGTTGTGTCTTCCTCACTTCCCCAGCACCTAGGACACTGCTGATCTCAGAGGCTCAAAGAATGCTCAACTGTGCCCATTGTTTACCTAGTGTCTCTTGGCATCATCCCTGTGATGCTCTGTGATGCTGGGCTTTCTGCAGTTAGGTTTCCCAGACTCCAGAGCTGGCTTCCTCAAGTTCTGCCCACGAGAGGGATGGGCATAAAGAAGGTAGGAAGAGGGAGAAGGGACTCACCTTGCTTTGGACTCCCTCCAGCAGCAGCTCAGGCTCCAGTGCCGTTCTGTACTGGGCACAAGGTACTGTGCTAAACCTCTTGAGGTTTAAACCTCTGCACATGGCCTGTCCTCCAAGCTCCTGCTGGGCCTGGGACTCCAGGCCTAGAGGTGGGAGCTTTGTGCAGACACGAACTGCTCAGTTGCCTCAGTTTTCCACATTTGTGCTCTCAGACTTCTAACAGCTGCGTGACCACTCCCCTGCGTTAAGTCCTCTCTTTGGAATTCCTAGCTTGGTGTCCCTATCCTGCCTGGGCCCCGAGGAATTGAATGACCCCACTGGCAGCAGACTAGGTGTCTGGATCCCCAGTCTCTCATATCCTTAGGAATTTTTGCTGATGAATGGATGGTTCTCTACATCCATGCTTAGAAAGCCCCATCTTAGGGCAGAAGAGCACTTAAGCATGCTGCTCCAGGAAATAAAATCCATCTGTGGTGTTTTAATGAGCTGTGAATTTCTGCTTTGACGATTCTGAGAGTCATTGATGTTAAGCTACAGTGGTTAGGAAAGTCTCAAGTTGAAGAGTGGATAAATGTCAGGTTTTCAGATTCTGAGCTTCTAGGATGAAAAGTGTGGGTTTTGACAGATGCTTTGGTATAAGATCCTGTAACAGGCATCAAAATGCAAGTGTTCTTTGTGGCCAAGCAGGTACCGTCATCAGGGAAGCAAGCAGGGCGTGAGGGGTCCACATGCCAGATGGTGGGGAATGGGTGTGTGGGCGGGAATGCCCCATTAGCAGAAGGTAACCCTTACTCAGCTCCAGCAAGCTACTGTCCCATGGGATTGTGGGTTCAGCAATCGAGATCTCACAGTTTTCAAGAGAAACCCCAACCCTCCATTTTGATGTGAAATCTGCCCATTTTTTAAATGCTGGTAACAAACATGATTAAAAAACCTCCGTAACTCTGTGGAGACCAAACACACTCCTGCCAGTCAGATGGTGGCTACGGACAGCCAGGCTGCCATTTCTGGAATGTGGCTTAACGGTGAAGGACGTATGCCCTGCACCCCGTCGTCTGGAGTCAAACCTGGGCTCTGCTTATTAGCTGTGTGACTGACCTGTAGCAGGCAAGTCAACCTCCCTGGGCCCGAGCTGGAACCGCTGTAAAATGGTTGTGATAACAGCCCCTATGCCTCTAAGGGTTATGACAATGACTGGAGACATGGAGACACAGCCCAAATTGGTAGAATGGCTTAGAAGGCCTGGCCCTCTGCCCCTCCCTGACTTTGCCTTCCCACCAGTCTTCCCCTGCCTTCGTCAGCAACTGCCTCATGCCCTAAGTGTTCTTCCATTAATATCCCAAGTAGGGCCCCACTTCAGGGCCTTTGCACTCACTGCCCCTGCAGACAGGAGACACACACACACACACACACACACAAGCCTCCCCACTCCGTTTTCCTCCACAGCACTTACTACCTTCTAACGTTCTCTACGTTTTATATATTTTACTCAACTATCTAAGTATCTGTCTTCTGCGTTGTAAGAGGGGTTTCCAAAAAGGTAGGGAGTCTTGTTCATCATGCTCACTGCTCTACTCTCAGCTCCCAGAATAGTGCTGGTATCTTGCAGGTGCTCAATACATCACTGTTGAATGAATGAATGAATAAATAACAGCCCCTACCTCATAAGGATCCGATGTGATTGTCCATATAAAGCGCTTTAGCCCAGGGCCTGGTCCACCGTGAGCGCTGATTTAATGATGGCCATTACGGTAATTCAGGTTCTATTCTTGAAGGTTCTTAGTTGCCAAGCTTCTATGAGTTAACACATGTAAAGTGCCTTAGAACAGGGCTTGGCATACAGTAAATGCTCAGTAAATGGTAGCTATCATTATAATTAGGCTTCTATTTTCTAAGGAGCTTTGGTGCCAAACTTCTATGAATTAGTACTTCCCATCTCCAAGCAAGAGCCAAGTTCCAACAAAGCTCTAACCAGCTGGCCCTCCGCTCCCCTCTGCCCTCACCCCTCCAGCTCTGCCCTCTCTGACACCCAGCAGGCTCCTGCCTCCTCCCGCCTGGACCGCTCGTCCCACCGAAGTATGCAGCTCCAGCTCCCTTCCTCCCTCCGACTCAGCTCAGGTCTCTGTCACCTCCTCAGGGAGGGCTACATTTAAAATGGCAGCCCCCTTCCAGCACTGTTCTCCCTCCTCTGCTTTGTTCTTCTCCACAGCATCTACCCCCATCCAGCATTCGCTCCATCTTACTTATTTACTGTCTGTCCTACCCTCCCCCCTGCAAGCTCCATGAAGACAAGGGTTTTATTTTGTTCACTGGTATATTCCCAATGCGCAGCATACAGCAGGGACTTGGAAGATAATACCTAAATGAATTAATGGATCACAGTCCTTACTTCACAGAGTTATTCTAAGGACCTGATGATCTCATGCAAATAAAATGCAGCACTCTGTAAGCGCTGGGGAAATGGCAGCTGTAATTATAATTAGGGTTCTATTTTTGGAAGTTCCTAGATACACAACTTCTATGAGTCAATATATATAAAGCTCCTGGACCAGCACTTGGCACCCAAGAAGCACAGCTCTGATTATAATTAATGTCCTCTTTGTGAAGGTTCTTAGGCAGGGGCAGAGAACATTAGCTGTCCTCCACCATCCTCCACGAACTGTTCTCTGCTTCCCGGGCATTGGCTAGACTGTCTCTCCCAGATTCCCCTGCAAGGAGTTGTGGCCATGTGACTCATTTCTCAGCAGAGGGATGTCAATGGGAGCAGTATGTGCCCCCTTGGGGCTGGGGCTGGTAAGACATCACAGGTACCTCGCCAGGCTGGCCTTCCTCTTCCACCAGCAGGACCCAGGCCACGGCCACTTGGCCATGACCATGTGGATGACAGTCGACTAAGGGATGGCCTGGGTCCTCGAATCACTGCATGCAGAAAGGCTGTCCCCCAACCTGAAACACCCACCCTGGACTATGATGTGAGCGTGAAACCTCTGTAGTGTTGAGTCCAGCCTGTACATCATGGGGTCTGTGAGTAAATATAAGGAAACCACACTGAACAGAAGTACTCAGGAAATATTGAAAGTCTTGATGACGATGATGTTAAGGGTCCCCCCAGGGAGGAGCCCCAGGGGATGGGAGGGGATAAACGCCCAGGCCCATGCCTCACACACTCAAGAGTCTACACACATGCACGCACGCACACACACACACCAAACACGCTGGACCGACACACACAGAATTTGGCTTTTATTCTGGCCTTCACACATCTACTGCTAAGACGACACAGATCGGCGTTACCCCCATCCCCCATGACCATTATGACCCCCCCCCCAGTTTCCTCTGCCCCCTCCTCCCACCCCACCCCTTTGGCCAAGCTCCCTGGGTGGGGTTTCTACCTACACCTCCCCCCGGGCATGCAGCATGAAGTGCCCATGCAGCTCCCCGAGGTTGTCGAAGGAATCCTCACACTCTGTACAGTGGTAGGTGCCCTCCTCCTCCTCCTCATCTTCCTCCTCCTCCCTCCCAGCTGGTCGGCCCTCCCCAGCCCGAGGTGGCTCCTCCTCTTCCTCCCCGAGGGCCCTGCCTTCAGGGGCTGGAGCTTCCTGGGGGGCTGTAGCAGGACAGCAGAGCCGGCAAGGCGGGGTGCCTGGTGGGGCCTCCCCAAGGGGTGAGCGGCCACAGAGCTGGCAGGGCTGGGCTGGGGGGCCTGGGGGCTGGGCTGCACGGGGGGCCCGGCGGGATGGGCCCCCCCGGCCTCCCCCCAGGCGCTGCTTCACCTTGTAGCCAGGGTCATATTCAGGATCATCAGTGGCCTCCTCCTCCTCCTCCTCCTCATCTTCTTCCTCTTCGGAGTCTGGCTCTGAGAGAGTGTATTCAGAGTCAGAGGAATGCTCAGGGCCTGTAGGGGGATGGACGGGGAGAGACAGAGGCATCTGAGGACGAGGGCTCTGCCCCCTCCCTGAACCTCATTCAGACTCTCGCCACAACATGGAGCGGGCAGCCTGGACACAACCCTGCTCTTCCTCACAGAGGAATCCCAGTCGCATCTAACATGGCCTGGCACGCAGTAGGTGCTCAGTGTCTAAGCAAATGGATGTCTTGCAAGAACTGCATCTTAGGGGTTTAATAAGGACAAAGTAGCAGTAATAAAAACAGTAACAATAACAGTGTTCCTTGCTATTTTAAGAACCCTGTTCTTGGGGCGCCTGGGTGACTCAGTTGGTTAAGTGTCCGGCTCTTGATCTTGGCTCAGGTCTTGATCTCAGGGTCATGGGATTGAGCCCCGCACCGGAGTCTGCACTCAGTGGGAAGTCTGCTTGGGATTCTTTCTATCCTTCTCCTTCTGGCCGCCCGCCGCCCCCCCTCCAGCGTACGCGCATGCATGTTCTCTCTCACATAAATAAATCTAAAAAAAAAAAAGAACCCTGCTCATATATTAACCTACCTAAGGCTTATAACAACCTTTGGAGGCAAGTACTATTATTAACCCTAAGTGACAAATGGGAAACTGAGGTACAGAGCAGTTAGGTGACTCACTCACCTCCAGTCACACAGCTCTAACAGGAAAAGCTAAATATGGGTAATGACCTACACTGGATCATTTTAGGGAGACAAATAGGTCTTCAAGCAAATTAAAACACACGTATGTGGTGTGTATATACCTATATAGTTAAGTGAATTAACTCTCTTTTAGAGAGAGAGAGAGCACATGATCTCATGACCCTGAGATCACAACCTGAGCTGAAACCAAGACTTGGGTGCTCAACTGACTGCACCACCCAGGCACCCCTAAAATTTTTTTAATTTAATTTTATTTATTTGAGAGAGAGAGAAACAGAAAGAGAGAAGGGGTGTGTGTGTGTGTAGGAGCAGGGGGGAGGGGCAGAGGGAGAAGCAGACTCCCCGCTGAGCAGGGCACTCCACTCGGGGCGCGATCCCAGGACCCCAGGATCATGACCTGAGCCGAAGGCAGACCCTCAACTGACTGAGCTGCCCAGGTGCCCCTGCTAAAATATTTGTAAGTACAGATATATTACTGTGATTTCATGAGCATGCAGGACATGTCTAGGACAAGTGTAGGTTAAAAAAAGGAAAACAATTTGCAGTCGATGACAGGAAAGGGTGCCATCAGCAGTCATTACGGGGGGTGCAGACAGAGCACTGGTCGGGGGCGGGAAGGAGGCCCCCCTACAGCAGCAGCAGTGTGGGAAATACCCACAGGCAGGCACCTGTCAAAAGCACCCCCTCGGACTGCTACAGCCTTGCCCTGCATCCATCCTGGCCCCTCTTCCTCATTTTCCTCCAGCAGCCTGGAAGGGTTCTATGACAACTGAGCCAACCACACTGGGCTCCTCATGGCTCCTCGACCCCTCAGGCGTGCACCTGCCGCAGGGCGTTTGCTACCCCCTTTTTACAGGCGGACTAAGGCTTGCTCCCTCCCCTCGCCAAGTCTCTGCGCAAGGGTCACCTTCTCAGAGACCCCCTCACCACTCTGTCTGATCAGCAATCCTTCCCCAGCACTCCCTATGCCCCTGATTCTGCTCTGTTTTTTCTCCTCAACTTCCCGTATCCAACATTGACCTGTGTGTTTACTGCCTGTTCCCCAGAGCAGGGACTTTGTCTGGTCCATTGCTGCATCTCTAGCATCTAGGACGCCTTCTTTGTGCCTGGCATTCAATTTAGCAAACCTTTTCTGAGGTTTTCACACATGCTGTTCCCTCTGCTGGGACAGTCTCACCCTGGTTTTCCCCATCATTCTTTAGGACACAGTAGGAAGCCTCCCTCCTTGGTGACGCTGTCCCAGATCTCCTCATCCTAGGCAGCCACTCACTGTCCTCCGGTTGTCCTCACCCTGAGCCCTGAGGGCTGTGCCTGTACAAAGCCCTTTCCCACCAGACCAGGGGGCAGGCCTGCTCTGACTCACTGCTGGCTCCCTGGCATCCCTCAGATCAGGAGAGTAGGTGCTAAATGTTGGCTGATTGTCCCTCCCTGCAGCTCTCTCTCTACTCGTTCCTGCCTCGGTCTTGCCGTCCGTCTCTCTGCCATTTAACACGTTTCCTGAGGCCCTGGTGTGGGCCGCTCCCTCTGCCTGGAGGTTGTCCCCCACTCTATCCGCCTGGTGACCTCCTACTCATCCTTCAGGCCCCAGCACAGGCTCTGTCCTCTATGACGGCGGCTCCCTCCACCCCGGCTCCCACTGGCCCAGCCCTCTCCCCTGGCTGCAGCCATCTGGGCCCTAGTACGTCTTCCCCATCAGACTAGGACTCCTTGAGGGCAGGTCTGGCTCATCTTGGGGTCCCCAACATTGCCCAGCCCAGGACCTGTGGGTTGAGTGCACAAGGGTGCCCTGAGGCTCTGATCTCCCTCCTCCCTCCAGGCCTTTGCCTCTGCTCTTCTCCCCCACCCCACCCCTGCCCCCGGCCACCAGTTCTTCTCCCCTAGCAAACTCCTGCTCCTCTTTAAGGTCCCAGCTTACACATCACCTCCTCTGTGAAGTCCTTCCTGACTCCTCAGGTGGTTAGTGTCTCTCTCTCGTCTGGGAACCCTCTGCCCCTGTCCCCCCGCCCCCAAACTCGAACATATCCTGACTACCTGGGTAGTGACCTGGAGATGGGGGACTCCTGGAAGACAGCACCTGGGTCTGGCCCATCTCCATGTCCCCAGCAATGCTGAGACCCCTGTCAGCCTCAGCAGACATTTGCTGAATGGCTGCAAAACACAGAGGAAAGCCCTCTGTCCTTGGGCCGGGACCCCTTCCCTCTTTCTCCTCCCACCTGACTTCACACCACCTACCCTCCAGAGCCTTCAAGGCCCACTATGACTTCATGCGGTTGGCTTGGTAAAGGCAATGAGGCCGTCGTCCACGGCAACCAGGTCTTTCCTGTCCACTGTGATTTTAAGGACCACAAGCCCTTTTGCGCCTACCATGCCTTCTCCACCTACAAGATCCTCAAAGCCTGGCATGTCTCCAGCATCCACTGAACCCTCGATGTCCACAGTGCCCCCCAAGCCTCCCGCCTCCTTGAAACCCACCAAATCGGCAATGCCCAACAGCTCCTCGGTGCCCACCAAGCCATCAACGGCCCCCAACTCGGCCCCAAGCGCAAGCAGTTCCAAGTCTACCAAGTGGGCCAGTACAAAGACAACCCCTTCTAAACAGCCCGGCAGCAAGTCCCGAGTCCACAGCAGGGCAAGGACGCCCAGCAAGGCGAGCACTGACACCAGGGCCAGCCAAGTCAGCAAGGCCAGTGGGGTAAGACGCCACCAGCGGAGGGGCACACACAGCCGGGGCCGAACTCCTGGCAGAAGGGGAAGCCGCAGCTCCAAGAGGTCACCCAGCAGGGCCAGCACCATGACCAGGATGAGAACTCACGGTGCCACACCAGGTGTGCCTAACAGGGCAAGAACTCCTACTTCCCAGAAAAAACAGAGTGGGGGCAAGAGTTCCAGCCGGCCTAGAAACAACAACCGGGAAAAAAGTAAGAGCCAGCCTAGAAATATGAGCAGAGAGGAGAGTTACAGCCCACCAGGAGCCTCAGGCACGGGGAAGAGTTCCGAGCTGGCTCTAACCCCAAGTAGGGCCAAGAGTTACAGCCCCACTAGGATTCCCTTCAAGAAGAAAGGTTACAGCCAGTCTCCATCATCATCGAGGAGGGTGAGGAGTTATAGTCAGATGATCACCCCTAGCAGGGAATGGAGTTACAGCCCAACTGAAGTATCTAGCAGGGGCAAGAGTTACAACCAGGATAGTGCACCCAGCAGGACCCGGAGTCATAGCCGGTCTAGCACCCCCAGCAGGACCCAAAGTCACAGCTGGTCTAGAAGAGCAAGAAGTCGCAGTCAGAAGAGAGCCCACAGTAGGATGAGAAGTCACAGTTCGAAGAGAAATCACAGTAGGGCAAGAAGTCGTACCCGGAAAGGAACTCCCAGTCAGATGAGAAGACATAGCCAATCCAGAACCCACAGCAAGGGAAAAAATTATAACCAATCTAGAACCCCCAGAAGGGGAAAAAGTCACAGCCAGTCTAGAAGCCCCAGCAAGGAGAGAGATCACCAACGATCTAGAACACCCAGCAAGGAGAGAGGTCATAGACAATCCAGAAGCCCCAGCAAGGAGAGAGATCACAGACGATCTAGAACACCCAGCACGGAGAGCGATCACAGACGATCTAGAACACCCAGCAAGGAGAGAGATCACAGACGATCTAGAACACCCAGCACGGAGAGAGATCACAGACGATCTAGAACACCCAGCAAGGAGAGAGATCATAGACAATCTAGAAGCCCCAGCAAGGAGAGAGGTGGCAGCCGATCGGGAACCTCCAGCAAAGAAAGAGATCACAGCCAATCTAGAACCTCCAGCAAGGAAAGAGATCACAGCCAAACCAGAACCCCCAGAAAAGAGAGAAATCGCAGCCGATCCAGAACCCCTAGAAAAGAGAGAGGTCATAGTCAATGCAGAACCTTCAGAAAAGAGAGAGATCACAACCAATCCAGAACCTTCAGAAAAGAAAGAAATCACAGCCTATCCAGAACCCCCCGAGAGGAGAGAGATCACAACCTATCTAGCACCTTCAGCAAGAGAGGTCACAGCCAATCTCGAACCCCCAGTGAGGAGAGAGAGTACAGCCGATCTCGAAGCCCCAGTGAGGAGAGAAACCACAACCGATCTAGAACAACCCCTATTAAGGAGAGCAATCCTAGCCAATCTACAACCCCCAGAAGTCTCCGCCGGAAGGATTCCACCAGCAGGGCACACAGTCCCAGTCAGAATGGAACACCCAGTGAGACAAGGGGCCACTCCTCCTCTAGATTTCTCAGTAGAGCCCCAATTCCAAGCCAGGATGATATTCAAGGCAATGCCACCATCTCTAAGGCTGCCTCACCTGGAGAGAGGTCCTCATCGTCTTCTTCCAAGCTGGCATAGCCCCCAGTCTCAGCTGGCTCACGGGTCTCTGTCATGGCCAGGGGAGGGGACAGGAGACAGGAGAAGAGCAGCAGCTGGGCAGCGTCCCTCCCCGGCCAGCTCTTCACAGCCACACCTGGGTCACAAGTTCTCCAATGCAGGATGTCGGCAGGTAGAGCGGGATGCTGCGCAGGGGAAGGAAAGGCCTGTGGTGACTCAATAAATTTTTACATAGCATCTGCCTCCCCAGGCCCAGCTGTGTGCTCAGTGCTGGGGGAAAGGAAAAGAAACATAGCCCCAGCTCTTCCATAGATCTTAATTTCCCCATCTGGGCAACAAAGCTGTCAGTGGTGTGGGGAAGCATCCCAAATATTTAGCAGCAGGTATCAGCAGGGGCACCAATCAGAACTGAGGGGAACATGGTCCTATGCCAAGAATTAACCCTTTAGTTGCTGGTTTGTGAGGAAGTCCAGGGCTGGGGGAGGGTCCAAAGTGGCAGCTGAGGGTAGGGAATTCCTTGATGTAGTGGTGATCAGTCTAGAAGGACTTCAGTATATAAACGACTGGTATGACAGCACTAGTTTGTGTCAGACCTAATTCTATACCTTGGCAAAGTGGTGTCTCAGTCTGAACCCTAAATCTGCCATATTCTAGCTGTGTAGCTTCAAGCAAAGGACTTAACTTCTCTAGCCTGTTTCCTTCTCAGTACCAAAGGACTCCCAGGGCTTAACCCATGTAGTCCTTGTAACTATGTTGAGAGATTATCACCTCCTCTGTACACGAGGAAACTGAGACACAGAGAGGATTAACAAGCAGTTCAAGGTCACACCAACTAGTTGGTGGGTGAACTAGGATTTGATGTTACCCTCTCTCTCATAAAATAATCCCTCAGCTGAAAAGACTTTTTGAAGATTCAGTGGGCTGATTCAATATAAACTGCCGGTATGTGGCAGGTACTCCCATTAACAGTGGCTGTTGGGCGGCTGGGTGGCTCAGTCGTTAAGCGTCTGCCTTCGGCTCAGGTCATGATCCCAGGGTCCTGGGATCGAGTCCCACATCGGGCTCCCTGCTCTGCGGGAAGCCTGCTTCTCCCTGTCCCGCTCCCCCTGCTTGTGTTCCTGCTCTCGCTATATCTCTCTCTGTCAAAAAAATAAATAAAATCTAAAAAAAAATTTTTAAAAAAATTAAAAAAACAAACAGTGGCTGTTAATACACCCACCCACAACCCTTTCTATAAACCCCAGCCACTCCAGACTTCTCACCTCTCCCCATGCACACCAGGACTTTTCACATCTGTGTGTCTTAGCCAATCCTACTATTGCTGTCTAGAATGTCCTCGTCTGCCTGGAGAACTCCTACTCGCTCTCCAAAACCCATCTCAAACACAAAAACCTCTGTACTTCTTCGAGCCCAAATACCATCTCTACCTCTGCCAAGAAGCCTTCTCTGACTCCTTTCCTTCCTATCCCTCTTCACCAATACCTCCCTTCACACACACACACACACAAACACACGGCAATTCTTTTGTTTCCCATTGCACTCCCTGGCAGTAAAGAGCCAAGAAGAGCAAGCTAGTGAAAGGGTTGGCAGCCTCAGCTACACCTCTTTATGCCAAGACTTGTGCTGGGTACTGGGGATACAATGGTGGAAAATACACAATCCCTTCAAAGCCTAGAAGTCAAGTTTAATGCTGGGGACTAAAGAAAAAAAAAAAAAAAGCGAAGCCTGGAGGAGGCTGGTGCATGGGGGGGGGGCGGGGCTGGTAGCAATGGCAGGAGAGCTTTCTAAAGACACCTGGATCTGGGCTTTAAGGACAGGAGATTCATAATTGGCAGAGAAGAATTGTCCTAATACCCTATTGCTTGTAGGGTCCCATTTAATTTGGGATTTCTACTTCATGCCAGGGTAAGTTTGCCAGATTTAGTAAATAGAAACAGAACATGCCTGGTTAAATTTTAATTTCAGATAAACAGAAAATTATTTAATATACATAGGTTCCATGCAATATTTGGGATAAACATTTCTAAAAGTTATTCACCTGAAACTCAAATTTAACTGGACGTTCTATCTGTTACCTGGCAAGCACACACTAGAGACCATCAGGACTTCCCATGAGATTACCAGGAGACATTGCTCACCAGGCTAGCCTACCTTCCCCCAAACCCACATCACACAAGGACCTTCCAGACTATTCCAGATGTCAAGTGGAGACATTCTTTGGTGCACAAGTCCCATTCCTACGACGACTACGGTGGCCATACTGGCTTCCACAAATTTAAAGGGACACAAATGAGGCTCCCTCACTACCACAAGGAAAACACTGTGCCTAGGCCCCACCAAATAACCTACAGCAACAAATTCCCAGGATGCCCTGCGTGAACATAATAGGCACCCGTTCCCACAATGCTAGGGCAAGGAGGCCAGAGCAAAACCTTACACAGGACAATAAGGACCAGTCCCCACAATGCCCTGCGACAATCCTTCCCAGGATGCCTCGGGCCTATAATGACCACCTTCCAAGGTGTTCTGCGTCGAAGCACTCCGAGCTTCCAGGATGCTTGGCGGAAGGTGTGTGACAAAAGGGACTGCTTCCCCACAAGGAGCTAGGATAATGCTTCCCATAATGCACTAGGCCCATAACGACTAGCGGACCGACTCCCACAATGCCTCAGGGCCGAGCGTCCCGTTTCCCCAGGATGCCCCAGGGCGGCATGGAGCCGCGCTGGGGGAGAAAAGGGAGCCTGGGTCTCGCCCTCCGGCCATCACGGGCCAAGACGGCTGCCTGCTCGCCCCGGTGACGGGAGCCGTCACTCCCATCATGCAGCGGTGCCGTAGCGCCCGCTTCCCAGCATGCCCCGCGCACCCCCATCCCGGACACTCACCGGCGCTAGCTGCCCCCGCTCTGGCTCGGCGGCGGCGGCTGCACGCCTCGGCTCTGCGCCTGCGCTGCAAGTCGGGTAGGAGGGAGTGCAAAGCGGCGTGAAGAGCCTAGGGCGCTTGCGCGGCGAGATGGACCATTCCCGTCGCACTGTGGGAAGAGGGGCTCTCCGACTTGGGCCATCGACGAGGCCCGCGCAGGGGGTTACGGGCTTTGCCCCTCGCTGTCCGGGTTTACTTGGTACAGTCCGCAGCTAAACGGAACAAGAAACTGCAAGGCTTGCGCGTGCGTGAGCGAGCAGGAACGCGCCTTACAGAAAATGGGATGAGCTAGGGGATGGGAGCGTCAGCTAAACCTGGATCCTGGGCCTGAGGCTTGCTTATTTGCATAATCTTAGTGAGGGACAATAGGAGCCCTACGGCGCTGAAGGGGTGATTTGCATATTCCCCGGAGAGGCCGTACTCCGGAACGCCGTGAATAGCATATGGGGGGGCGGCGGCTGGGGGCGCTCCTGAACAAAGCGCATGCGCTGACGGATTGCGGACTAGCGCGGAGCGGGTGGCCTTGTTTTAGTTGGCATCAGTTTGCATCGGAGAGGGGGCACGAGCGCCAAGACACTTACCAACCCCACAAGCCCTCCCCCCCCAGCATAAATATTTACTGCTCTCTTCTGTGCCAAGGCCTGTGCTGGTGGGCACTGTGGTTTCCGCAGTAGACAAGACACACCTGGCTCCTAACCTCATGGCACCCCAATCAAAGGAAGGAGAGCCACAAAAGTCAGAACCACAACCCAGAGTGGTCAGACTTGGGATGAGTGGAGTATAGGAAACTGGGAGCCAGAGGAGGTGCCTGCCCTAGCCTGGAAAGGGTTCCAAGAGATGGTGATCTTTAAGCCAAGGATGAATAGAAGCCAACTGGAATAGGAGTTTTTCTGGCAGAGGGAACAGCAAGGGTAGAAGCCTATAGGCAAAAAGTAGTCATGGTTTGATTGAGAAAATGATAGCAGCTAAGTATCCCTGAAACAGAATTAAGAGAGGGGAATGGCACCTACAGGCGAAGTTAAGACCTCAGACTACGCTGTATAGGAAGCTATTGCAGCATTCCAGGCTTCCTGGAATTGACTCAAATTCCCGCTCAGAACTCTCCAATGAGCTCCCATTACACTTAGAAAAAAATCCAAACTCTGTCATGGCCCAGGGGCTATACACATAGTCTGCCCCTCCTTGTCTCTGACTTCACTCACTTCTCTTTATCCACTCCACCGCTCAAACACTGCAATCTCTTTACCACCTCAGGCCTTTGCCCTTGCTATTCCCTTTGCCTGAAAATGCTTTTCCCTCTGATCTTTGAATAGCTGATCTTATGCTCATCATTCATTTCTTGGCACAGGTGTCAATCAGGCAAGCTCTCCTTGATCTTTCAAAGATGGCACCTCCAGATTTGCTTTAGAGAAGTGAGTGGTGTTATGGATAAAGCAGGTTTGGCCATGAGTCCATGGTTGTGGAAGCTGGGGTGAAGGGTGCATGGGACTTCATTGTCCTGTTGTCTACTTCTGTGTTTGAAGTTTTCCATTATAAGTTAATAATACCCCACATCGCCTTACTCTGCATTTTATCTTAAGGGTACTTATGGCAATCTGAAATTTAAGTTTTTTTGCTTCCTTGCTGCAGTCTGTTCTCTTCATAGAAGCTTTGTGAGTGTAAGAATGGAGTCATCCTTTTTCTTTGGGCCCTCAGTGCCTAGACTAGGATCAAGTTTCAGATTAGAACTAAGGTGTCTAGAACATCTAACATTTGCTTTTTTTATTCACTATGGCATCTCCACATCTTTTGAGTAGCACCTGGCACAAAGTAAGAGATCAATATATTTTTTAGTCTAAAATTAGAATCACTCATCTAAAATTTAGTGGCGTGAGGAGGAGGGAGGAGTCAGGAATGCCAAGCTAAGGGGGTTTGACTTGACCTAGAGGTGATGGGGAGCTAGGGAAAGGTTTTGAGCAGAGCAGGGACAGGTGTTGCCAGGAAGAGATGTGAGTCTTTGAAAGGTCCTTTGGAGATCGATGTCAGGGGTAGGAGTAAGTCAGGGGAAGGATCCAGGCCGTTGGCTGGGGATGGGGTAGCTCAGTGGCTACTGAAGAGACAAGACTCAGTGACTTTTGGCTTGTGGAATGGCCAGGAAAAAAAAAACCAATTTCTTGGAAGAGGGGAGGTGCCCTTGAAGAGGTAAGGACCCTCTCCTGGCTTGTACTGTCCACCAGCAACCATCTTACTCCTCTCCCTCCTCCCTCCCTTAGTTCAGTTCCCCTCACAACATAGTGCAGCTCTGGGCAGAGGGACAGACACACAGCCACCCCAGACACTTGTTCTCTCCTCAGTTTAATGGTGGTTAGTGGGATTGCCAAACCCCCTCCCCGTTCCCTCCCCATACAAAATGTGTTTGTTTGTTTGTTTGTTTTTACAAGAAAAAAGGGGCAAAAGCCAGGAATGAGGGGAGGGGGGTGCAATCTGATATTTTCATACAGATTTTTAATTTTTTTTTAATATATTATATATAAAACCATAGAGAGCAACGCACCCCCCAAACTCCTTTCCCTCTCCCTGGAGGGCCTGGAGGAGAGATGGGGAAGGCCCCCCCAGGAGTGGGTGGAAAGAGAGACAAATATGGATAGGACAGATATGGGGGGAGGAGGTGGAGGGAAGGGGAGCCCAGGAACCTGGGAATTGGAGAAAAGGGTTGGGGCTGTCTCCCTCACCGCCCCCATCGAAGTTATGACACAAAGACACAGAATCCCTGTTTCCATGCCCTCCCCCCACCCTTACCCCCACCGTGCAAACATGGCTTTGCAAAGAGGTGCCCAGAGTTCTGTGGAACTCCTACAATGGCTGGCATGGGGTCTGGGACCCCCAAAGAAATCTGTGTTCCCCTTCCCTGCCCACCCCACCCTTCCCAGAATCTGACCCCTTCCCCACAAGACCTGGTTCTGCAGCCTAGGGGCCCTGGCCTTCCCCCAGTTATCTTCCCCCAACCCAATCCCTACCGCCCTCCCTGGACTTGGGGGGTCTGGACCTTTGGCCCCTGCCCCCTGGGGGGCCCAGACCTCTGGGCCCTTGCTTCTGGCCTTTGCAGAGACCCAGGATCCGACACTCCCATCCCTGCCCAAGCGTCTGAGGTGTTAGTGGTGGGGGGAGAGGCCCACCATCCCAGACTCTGGTAAATGTCTTTGCAGCTGGCAGTGGGGTGGACCCCAGCCCAGGACCAGGCCCAGGCCTGGGTGGAGGTGGGGTCAGATGAAGAATTCTTCTTTCCTCTTGTGTCCGTCGCTGCCATTGAGAAAGGCTTCTCTTGCTTCTCCCTGCTCATCCAGGCCACTGGCCTCATGGGTCAGATAGGAGCCTGAGGGGTGGCAGACCCCCAGGCACAGGCGACACATATGTGGACCCAGGAGTTGGGCAGAAATACACGGGAAGACGGAGACAGACAAGACATACCAGGCGAAGAAAGAGGGAGAAAGGGAACATACAGGGAGAGGTCATCAAGTCCAGGGGATAGCAAAACAGGGGCAGAAAAGAGGTAAAAGCAGAATTAGGAAGACTCCAAAAGTTCACAGAAAGACCACCCTTATCCATTCTCTTGGCGGTGTCCCCTTGCTCTGCTCCCAACGAATCCAACAATTAGGAAGATAAATGTTTTATTCAAACCCACGGCCTTAATTGGCCTTCAACGTTTCACCCCTTTTAGAGTCGTGGCGGAAAGGTCCGCCCTTTTGGAATCTTGGCCTCAGGTCCCGCCAGATCTCGAATCCCGGATCTGGGCTCCGCCCCCTTATCACCTCGGCTGTACGCCCGCCCTCTTTCCAACCCGGACTCTAGGCCCCGCCCCCTTCCGGATCCCACAACCAGCCACACCTCTCGCTGAATTCAGACCCCGCCCCCACTCACCCTTCTGCCGTACTGAGCACCAGACCATGCCCACCAGCACACATATGATCAGAAACACCAGTAGCGCCAGGATGCCGCCCACAATGGCGTAGGGCACCGACGTCTGAGCCTCTACCACCGCACCCGGGTCTGCCAGAGAGACAGGGCGCAGGACCAGGTCATCGGAGGACGGTCCCAGCCCGGCCCCATCGCTGTGGATCGCTTAAACCAGTCCACACACTAACCGCGCTTTTACGTGCCACGCCCCTCAAGTTATTGCCGCTCCTGTCCCCTTGTCCTGGCTCCACTCTTTCCTGATGCTCCACTTCCACAAAGAATGCGCGCGTGTTGGTTTGCACACTGCCCGACCCAGCCCCTGAGTTCTTTTGCTAGTACTATCCCACTTTCTTCCCCCACCCCATTCCCCACAGAACAGAAACAGCACATCCCTTTTCTTTGGACGCCTTGACCCACAGAACCTCAGGTCCAAGTCCCTTTCCCCCTTGTCTAAAACGCTCCAGGTATTTAAAATGCTGAGCTATAGGCCCAACAACTTCCAAAATTCCTGCCCCACCGTTAAAAGGGCTAACCACATAACACTTATTTTGTGCTAGGGGCCATTTCAACCCCTTTATATATTTAGCTCATATAATCTTCACAACCCTATGAGGTAGGTGCTATTGTTTATTTCCACTTAACCGATGAGGAAACTAAGGCGCAGAGTTACCCGCAATAGGATGCTGCAGAGCCCAGTGTGAACCCAGACGGTCAATCTGGCCGCAGAACTCCAGGAATTCTGTTGGCTGTTGACCCCAAGGAATCACCCTTTGCACAGGCCCCTCAAACACCCCTGGCAGGTCTTGAACCATCCAATCCAGCTCGCCCATTCCCAAGGCCCCGCCCCACCCAGGACACCCGGAGACCTCCTCCGAGGCCCCGCCCCTGCCTTGAGCCCCGCCCCCAGGCCGGCCGCTGCCTGCCCTCACCGTAGACCACGAGTACATAGAGCGCCCTCGCGTGGCCGTGCTTGTTCGATGCCTCGCAAGTGTAGGTGCCATTATCGGCTGATACCAAGCCTGGCAGAGTAAGCGTCTCCCCGACCGCCTCGGCCCGCTCTGGCAAAGATTCATTCCCGCGGTTCCAGCGGATCTGGTTTGGTCTGGGCATGAGTAAAATATAGTGAGAGTTAGGGACACAGGTGCCAACATCCAATTCTGAGTTCTCAGTAATCTAGATATGTAGCATCTCCAAATAAGAGGGTCCTTACTAGCCAGCCCTATCCTTCCTGCAGTCCTGGGCCCAGCTTCCACCCGACACCAGTCTCAAGAATCCTAGCCTCCCGCCCCCCGCCCGTTCCACCGTCAGAATCCAGGAGTCCATGGCCCCACAGCTTCCTTCCTCAAGA